CTGCCAGCTGGGGTGCTTCCTGCAGCCCTGCCCAGCCTCACAGTTTCTTAACGACCAGATCACAGCTATGTTTTTCCCTCGATTCGACATCACGGAAAACAGAAGAGATTGCTCAGCGGCGTTTCCTTTGATACTAAAACTTGGTGGTTGAACTTATTTTTACAAAGACAGTGTTGAGTGTTGATAGTCACACCCCAACCCTGACTGCTCTCATAGCTGTGAAGGAGCACCTCATTGGGGTTTTAATTTGCATTTTCCTAGTGGCTTCTTCAGTGATGTCAAGTATTTTGACCATTAAAAAATTAATGGGGTTAGTGGCTTGGCTCAAGTGATAGAGCACCTCCCTGGCAAGCATGAGGCCCTGAGTTCAAACTCCAGTACTGCCAAAATAAATGTATAAATATTAGGAAATAAAAGTTTGAAAAATAATGGGCTGGGTGGTGGTGACTCACTTGTAATCCTAGCTACTTCGGAGGCTGAGATTGGGGGAGGATTGCAAATCAAGGTCAGCCAGGGCAGTAGTTCTTGAGACTCCATCTCTAAAATAAGCAGAGCAAAACGGAATGCAGGTATGGCTCGAGGAGTAGAGTGCCTGCTTTGCAAGCGTGAAATCCTGATTTCAAACTCAAGTCCCACCTCACCAAAAGGGGGGGTGGTGGTGTTTGTTTGTTGCCATAGTTTGTATCCTGAATGTCTTCCAAAGCCCATGTGTTAAAAGCTTGGTCCTCAGCCTGGGTGCTGTTGGAACGGGGAGGAACCCTTAGGATGTGGGGCCTAGTGGGAGGAAGTGAGGCCACTGGAAGTGAGGCCACTGGGAGTGCGGCCTCGAAGGGAATCTTCCTCTCTTTCACTTCCTGGAGGCATGAAGTGAGCAGGTTCTTCCAGCACGCACTCCCAGCATGTTGTTTGGCCCAAATGAACAAGGCCATCCTGCTAGGGACTGAAACCTTTAGTCAAAATAAAGCCCTCATCTTTTTGAATTGCTATGGTAGGCTCCTGGTGCTTACTGCAGGCTGTGTTCTTATGTTGCTTGTACATATATTCATGTTATATATATATGTGAATTTATTAATTTTTTTGGCAATTCTGGGCGTTGAAGTCAGGGCCTCACGCTTGCTAGGCAGGTGCTCTACCACGTGAGCCACTCCACCGGCCCTTTTTACGTTGGTTATTTTTGAGATGGGCTCTGGCCTGACCACAGTCGTCCTGTTTGTGTTTCCCTGTGTAGCTGAGATGACAGGCTTTTGCCACCATGCTAGGCCATTGGTTGACATGGGGTCTCATGAACTTTTTTGCACAACCTAGCCTCGAACCTCCCAAGTAGGTGGAGTACTAGCTTGAGCCACTGTGCTTGGCCTCTGTTATAGTATTTTTGACACAGGGTCTCACTATGTAGCCCAGGATGGCCCTGAACTCTCAATGGTTCTGCCTCAGCCTCCCAAGTGGTGGGATGACAAATGTGGAGCAGTACACCCAGCTTATTACTTTTTAAGACATTTAACGATGAAGGGAAATGCCTCCTGTTTAGGTTCAAATTTGTCACTTCTTCCACTCTGTACTCTTGGGATTGGATTTCAGTTTTGTGGGTACAAATTCCTCATGCTTGGAGTTCATTAACTTCTTGCAGCGCGAGTCTGCAGGGGGTGAACTCTCCCAGCTTCTGTTTGAGATTGTGAAACAGAAGTCCTGGCTTTCGGGCCACTCCCATTTTGGTCAAATAGGAGCATCTCGTACAGAATTCCCAGTTGCATATTGGTTCAGCGTTCTAAAGCAGTCTCTCCTTGTCAACGGCCTGCAGCTGCTCAGGCAGAAGTCCAAAGTCTGCCCTTATCTCTGCTTCTTAGGTCGTGGGCTGTGCTTTATCTGAGACAGCCATTTCTTTTATCACTTTGTGCCAGGCATCTTATTTCTTTCAGTTAGCCTTCGAGGAGTCTGTTGGTTGCTTTGCATTTGTAGCTTTATAGCTTTCTTCAAATCTAGACAAATTTCTTGGGCTGTTTCTTCAAATATATGTGTATTTCTCTTTGACCTCTCTCTCCTCTTGTCTGGGAACTCTAATCCCATTCCCATGAGAATTCCATTCAGGGGATCACAGAGAATAGGCCATTCTTTCCTTTTTCCTTTCTTTTTATGTGGTGCTGAGGCTTGAACTCAGGGCCTTCACCTTGAGCCACTCCACCAGTCCTATTTTTGTGATGGGTTTTTTTCAAGATAGTCTTGAGAACTATTTGCCCAGACTGGCTTTGAACTGTGATCCTCCTGATCTCTGCCCCCCAAGTAGCTGGGATTACAGGCATGAGCCAGCTCCATTTTTTTCTTATGTTTGGGCTTCATTTGGGATAGTTTCTAGGCTTCTTGGCATGGTTCACTGGTGTTTGCTGGTGACATCTAGTCTGTTGTTAATCCTGCTGGTGAGGGCTGATTTGTGTCCCCTCCCCCCACCAAAAAAACCCTGCTATCTGACAGCACAGTGCTGAGAAGGGGACTTTAGAGAGGTGACAAGGTCAAATGAGGTCATATGGTCTCAGCACCCTAGTTCTTAAGGACTGGTGAGGGCATCAGGGAGGCGCATGTGGAGAGACGCCTGTGCAAGGACAGAGGGCCTCTAGAACGAGAGGAAAGAGTCCCACCAGTTAAGGCTGTGGAGTTTTGTCATGGCTGCCTTAGAAAAGGAACACGAGTGTTCATAAAGTCCATTGGTTCTTTCTTTCTATAACCGGTTTCTCACATCCCGCTTGAAGTTTCCTTTACAGTGGGTCTTTGTTGACAGTTTTGGGTCTATCTATTCCCATTGACTTTTTGGGTTACATTTTCCTGCTTTTGAGCCTGTTAGTAATTTTTTTGGGGGGGGTGTAGCACTGGGCTTTAAATTCAGGGCCTAATGATTGCTAGGCAGACACTCTACTACTTTAACCATGCCCCCAGCCCCTTTTCCATTCGTTATTTTTCAGATAGGGTTTTGTACTTATGCCTGGGCTGGCCTGGACTGCAGTCATTCTATTTACACGTTCTGCATGGCTGGGAGGACAGGTGTGTGTCATCATGCCCACCGTTCACTCCATGGGGTCTTTGTGACTTTTTTGCCTGGGCTGGTCTTGGCCATCAGACCTCCCCATTTTTGCCTTCTGAGTAGTTATGTGCCACTGGGCCCAGCAGAAATTTCTGATTGAATGCTTGACATTCACTGTTGCTCCAGTATGCAGAACAACAATTTGCTCTTTTTTTTTTTTTTGCGGTACTAGGGTTTGAACTCGAGGCTTTGTGTTTGCTAGGCAGGTGTTCTGCTACTTGAGCCACGCTCCAGACCTCACTTAGATGTTTTTGTGACTGTTTCTGAAGTCACAAAACTTCAAGTTAGTTTAAAGTCAGTTAAAGAAGACTTCCAGTGGCTTTTTCTCTAGGGATGGCTTGGTCCCTGGCTAAGGACTGGCCTTCTTCAGGTGTCTACTGACTGCCCAAGTGACTCACAAGGCCTCTCCTCTTTGGCTGCTCAGCTGGTAAATGTTTGCAACCCTGTGAGTCTGAGGACCAGGAGTTCACAGCTTCTTCAGTGTCCTCCATGTAAGCTCACTGTTCAGAGCAGACTCAGGGAGGGGAGCTCAGCTCTGTAACTCCCTCCTCCCTGAGACGTCCATCTGCAAAGGCATTCCTGAGTCCTGGTCTTGTCCTTATTTGCCCAGCAAGACTGCCAGGATCCACTTGGCTCCCTCTCCCTGCTCTGGGCCTCTTGTGTAAAGATGGATCAACTGAAGAGCTCCGTTAACTTGTGACTCTTCCCTTGGGGATCACATTTCCATTGGGTTCCATTTTTTAAAAGTTGAGTCATATGTTTTCAGTTTCTAGTTTTGGAGGCAAAAGGGTAAACCCAGGGTGTTACTCCATCAGGACTGGGAACAGAAGTGACCAGTTCCTTTTTTTCAGACAAGGTCTCAAACTCGTGATCCTCCCGGGATTGCAGGCGTGCACCACCACTGATGAGCACCTAGGTTGTTTTTAAGTCCTCCATCACTCTGAGAGAGACTGTGTACATTGCTATACATGCATCTCTCCATGCTTGGATGAGACTGTTCCTGGATCAATTTGTACTATGATCTAAAAATCTTTAAAGTTTTCTTCCAAACAGCTTTGTTGAGGGGCTGCTCAATGAGCGCTCCTCCGACAGTGTGGGGTGTGTGATGTATTCACAATCCCCATGCCTTTTCACCGGGTAGCAGTTGCTACCGGTGAATGGGAACATTCTGCTTGTCCCTTCTGTGGCTGAGGACCTCAACTTCCTCCCTCGCTTGGCCTGCTCAGCTGTCTCTTCTTCCTCTGTCCACACCACTCCCAACCCCCTCTCAGCAGATGGCCACTGGCTGTGCCTGCCCATAGTGCAGCCCAGGGACACTTGAAGTTCCCAAAACATTTGCAGTGTAGCAGCCTGTGGCTCTCCCCTTGACCAGTCCCTTCCAAGGGTCAGGGGGCCCATTCGCCTAGTGACGAGGGACTGTAAGCCCTCCCCCTTTTCCCCCAGTTCAGAGCTGTCTATGGAACTGAACCCAGGAGTGGTGTGGAATGGGGGCTCAGCCTTGGACCACTTCCTAGGTCCAAAGCCCCTTTGTTCCTGTTGGGGTGAGGCCTGGCTTGGCCCCCAGCCTGGTGTGCCTCAGTGCAGGGTGGCTGGTGGAGGGCCCCTGGGGTCAGGACTGTGAACTAGCCTGGGGTCACTGAGAGACCCCTGAGGCTGGAGCATGTAGTGCCTGGGCACACTTCTAGTGGAAGAGTGGCTGCTCCTGCAGGGCCAGGAGAGCAGTGAGGAAGAGCCTTGAGGGAGGAAAGGGTGTGAATAGGGTACAGAATGGGAGGGGGCCGGAACAACCAGGGTTCCCAAGGGGGTGATGTGGCTGGGACAGAGCAGGAGAGGAGATGGAGAGGCAGGTACCCATGGGTAGATCGTGGGCAGGCAAGAAGCAGAGGCACCTGAGGGTCAGGAAGAGTGTGGATCGTGGACAGAAAAGTGGGAGGAGCATAGTGGGGACAGGGCTTCAGAAGGGCTGTCGAGGGAACAGGTTGAGGGACAAAGTGATTGGACGAAGAGGAACCAAGGACTGTCCTAGAGTCAGGCTCCTGGAGCCCAGAGGAGGTCGGGGTGTGTCGGCCAGGAAGGTGAGGTGTGGGTACAACTGGTTTGCAGGTTCCTGGTTCTGGGAGGGAAGGGCTTTGTCCCCACGGGGGTGGTCAACAAGGGGACAGGCTGGGGGCGGCTGAGACCACAGAGCAGCAAGCCTGAGAGGCACTGAGCTAAGATAGCCACTGATGCCTTAGAGTTTGGAGCCTACGGGTCTAGGCTGGAGCCCAAGCCCCAGCGTGGCTCTGCCATGAGAAACTGTCTAGGCTTCCAACTGGCAACTGAGCTCTGGGAAGTTCCAGGCCACCTGAGATCTCTCAGAGCCTCCTCTGACCACCTGGTCCACCACAGGTCTCTCTTCTCTGTCCCCAGGCATGAGGGACAGAGGCTGTGCAGCCACAGGCTTCTCTACACTTGGCAACCTCCCCCAGCTAAAGAAAGAGTCCAGTGAATTTGTCTCCGCCTTCTGCCACCCCTTGTGGCACCCTAGTAGTTCCCACTTAGGGGACCCCAGCTCCTCCTTACCAGGTCCACTCTGTCCACCCTTCACACAGCTCCTAAATGCAGAGTGTGTCTGTATCTTCAGCTGTGACTGGCACTGACTACGTGCCTCACGCCTCTCCAGGAGTAGATCCAGTACCTCTCCCTGATGGTTCAGTCCATGTCCTTCCTCAGAGAACACCCTTCCCACCGTCCCTCTACAGGCTCCTTTTCACCCTTCAGAGCCTCAGGAGGTGTGTTTGGCTTGTCTGAGAGCCCTCAGCCCAGGACTGGGGAAGTTTGACTTTTAGACTCTTCTCCCTCACTGGACCATGGGCCAGGAAGGTTGAGACCAGGCTTTTGCCTCTGAGCCCCAGTGCCCAGCTAGGACTCACACAGAACAAGGTGGGGGGAGCTGAGGCTGTCCTTGAAGGCAGAGGAGTGAGAGTGAGCACTAGAGTTACCAGGACCCCACCCCCATACTTCCAGGACAGGGCTCAGGCAAAACTTCCTGCTCTCCTTACAAGAAGAAAGGGGGAATGTCATATGGGGATTTCCAGACAGGCCACTGGATCCTGTCCTGCAGGGAAGTCAAAGCTCTGGGTGACAGCAATGGTAGGGAGCCCATGGAGCCCCAGGCTGGGACTGGAAGGGGCTCCAGGAGGCAGTTGGACTGTGGAGTTGGACTTGGAGGGGCTGCTGGCTTGGGGCAGCTGCTGCAGACTAGGGGAGGCCAAGCCTTGGGCTGAGGATCTGTGATCTGACTCGCTTTGGCCTCAGTTTCCCCATCTACATTGGAAGTGTGCACAGAGTGTCCTCCACAGCCCCTGCCTGGCCTCCCTGTCCTGAGGGTATGCTGAGGTGGGTGCCCAGCAGAGACCATATGGATTCCTGGGCTCAGGCTTTGACTGGGACTGGTGAGGAGACCTGGTGAGTCCCAAGGCAAATGGTCACCCAGGGCTGTGAACCCGCCTTCTAACCCACCAGGGTACAGGGAGGTTGAAGTGCCAGTGGAGTCTCAGACAAACTCTCTGGAGGGTTCTGCTGACCTCTCCCTTCTGATTCCTGTGGGTCTGCTACTAAAATTGGGGCTGGCAGCCAGCAGGTGACAGCCAGTTACAGAGATGCCTGGGGGGTGTTAAGGACCTGGATCCAGCCTCTTCTGTCCCCTTTTGTCATTGTGTACAGGAGCTCTGAACACAGCCTGACTGGTGATGGATATGGGATGTTCCCTGCTGAGTGAATAGGTGAGTGAGCAAGTGAATTCGTAAGAGAATGAGTGAGTGAATTAGTGAATGAGTTATTGAGTGAATGAGTGAGGGAGTGGATGAGTGAATGAGCCAGTGGCTGGGAGCTGGGACAGGAGCCTCCCTGTCTTCCTGCTGCACCCCACCCTGGAGTTTGCATTCAAGGGGGGTGGGGGCAGCCCTATCCAGAGAGGCACAGGGGCTGGGTCACAGGGTGCAGGAACAGGGCATGGTTTAAACTGAGCAACCAGAGATTTTTTGGTGGAAAATGATTATTTCAGCAGAGATCTGGGCATAGACAGCTTCCTGGTGGGACAGAACAGCTCCCGTGGCCCCCAGGTCTGCATGCTGGGGTGTGGTGGGGGAGGTGTAGAGCCCACCCAGGGACTCCCCATTCAGGCTGAGACTTCTGGTGCCTCCATTTCTCCCTCTGTCCAGGGGAGGGGGATGTGGGGTGGAGGATGAGATGGTCTCTGAGGGTTTATTTACCAGGAGTGATGGGTTGGTTATGTTGGAATTAAAGACCCTCCGGTGCCGAAAACAGACACACAGAGACAGAAAATCTTGACAAGGCCATTTCTCTTGATCAACAGGGTGCAAGCATGTGCTCACTCCAGCTAAGCAACATGCAAGCACAAAATGGCTGACAGTGGCTCTCCTTACATCCCTGACTCAGTCGTACCCGTTCCTCACATGGGATTTGTCCAGGTCAGAGGTTCACAGTCTCCCTCGACTGGCTAAAAGGCTTGGGGGATGGGTTAGGGCATGCAGTTTGGCAGGCAATGGAGTTGTACAGGAATCCAGAAGAAGAGGCAAGGACCCTTTAAACATGCAATCACCTGAGATGGCAACCTGAGGAATTTTTAAGTAGTCTAAGAGGGTAACAAATACTTTGATAGAAAAGATCGTTTTCTTATAGCTAAGAGCCTGCGAAGGAGGGGTGGCCACAGGGTGGGGAAGCCCCATGGGGAGCAGGCAGCCAGCCAGGTCAGGTTGGGTAGTCCACATTTCCACATGGGAGATTTGGGCAAGGCCCTGTCCTACTCAGAGCCTCGTCCCACACCTGTCAATTTCCTTCCTGTCTCCCTCCCAGGGAACAGATGGGAATCCCTTTGGAGTGCTCTAGAATGACAAGGGGTCCCTGTTCTCTCATTCCCTGTTCTCAGGGCCCTTTAAGAACAGTTCTCAGGAATTGCAGATGAAACCAGTCAGAGATGTGAGCAGGACTCTAGGCAGAGTTTTGGGGAGGTGTGACCATTGGTTAACCCAGTCTGATCCGCAGAGAACGAGACTGGTAGTGTTGCAGGAGGGCTCAGACAGAGACTGAGAGAGCACCAAAACTTTTGGGAAGCAAGTTTATTAAGCAGGCCAGCGGTGACTCAGTGGACTCGAGTCCAAAGGCTGAGCCCCGAGAACAAAGGGGGCTTTCCTTATATGCCATTTAGAACAGGTTCCAGAAATGGTGTGTGTGTGAGGTACAGCATTCCAGAAATGGTGTGTGTGTGGGGTACAGCTTGTCCATACATGATCACATGTTATTTCATTGGCTGTTTCAACCTCTGGGGCAAGGTGACTCTCCTCTGGTCTCCAGGTAACATTCCCCAACTCTGGTTTTCCAGCACTCACTAATCTGTCTTACTCCTCTCTGCCTTCCTGCCATAGCACCAGACGATCGCACCCCTTTTTCTCTGATCTCAAGGTCAGTCAGTACTGGGGAATTCGGGTGAATTGGAAGTGCATACGCCCTCTAGGGGCCCCACTTCCACAGGGAGCCAGAGGGGTCAGAGAGGTGCTGGAGAACTTACTGGGCATTTCCTGGCCCATTTCAGGGGCTAAGTGGTCCACTGGGACACCACCCTGGCCCCTCCAATCTGTCACTGCTGGTTGTCCTCCTTCTCATAGGAGCAGAAAATATTCCCCACCCCCCACTTCCCTTGGCGTTGTTTGCTCTGTTTCTCTTTCATTTTTACTTTAGATTGCAGTAGTAGGCCTGTCTGTGAACCTCAGAGCAGAAGCCAGTGGGGCGTCTGGGCCTGGGACATTTTGACCAGGGGCATGGAGTCTCTGTCACGCTGGGGGGTCTCCCTACTGGAGCCAGGAGCCCAAAACAACACTTTGAGACTGGTAAGTTCCCGAATCCCTTCTCTGTCCCCACATCTCTCTGCCCCACTGGGGCCCACGGGTTATCCCCAGCTGTGCCCCTTCCTTAGGCCCTTGCCGTGGCCATGTCTGGGTTCCCAGGTCACAGGAGTCTGTGTCCTGGCTGCCCAGCTCTCTGGAAGTCACCCAGTCCCTCAGCACTGCCCAACTCCAGGTGGGGAGGCCACAGGCAGGAAAACTCGTCCCACTAGCAGAGGCTGGCTTGGGCCCCCATTCAGGAGCAAGTGGTGGCCCTGACAGAGTTGGGAGTGCTTCCCAGCCTGGAGGCTTCTTTTGGCAGCTCTGAGCTAACTATGTCCCTGGGTAGAGTCCTGGAGCAATGGCTGAACTCCACCTATGGTCTGTACTTCCTGATAAGGACCGTGTTTGTGTAGGTACAAACTCCCTTTGTTTGGGCAGTGACTAGCTCCTTGCCAAAGTGACTTTTCTGCCTGCCTAGGAGGGTGCCCTGAGGCCCCTGATGGCCAGTCAGCCTGGAACTAAGGTCCTGGTGGGGCCACTCTGTCCTCTGGGACCTGACCAGCCTGACCCTACCCTCAGGTGTCAGCCTTTGAGGGCCAGCCCTGGATGACCCTGCTGCATCCCCAGGAGTCAGTGGGGCTGGCACAGAACAGCAGGGTGTCACCCCAGCAGGCTTGGGGCTCCCCAGGGAGTAGCGTGTTCCAAGGTCCTTCCCTGGGCCCTGCCCACCCTCCCCTACCAGTACACTGCCAGCCCCAGGGGTTGCTGCTTCCTTACTGAATGGAAGGGAAGGCAGAGTTCCCAGGCCAGCCTGGCAGCAGGATGGCTCCTTCCCTCTAATGCTTATCCCTACCTCTAGGCGCTGTGCCTTTTCCTCCTGGGTTACCCCCAGTGCATTCTGTCCCAGCCCCTGTGCAGAGAGGAGGAGTATCCAGTGGGCACTGAGTGTTGCCCCAAATGCAGCCCAGGTACGGGGGTCCTGTGGAGAAGCCCCCAAATGGGGGCCCAGGTGAGGCACTCCTGCTCTGTCCTGCCCTGAGTCCCCTCTGTCCTCTGTGCCCACAGCCTTGTGTGGCACAAAGCCCATGTCCCCAGGGATCCTGATAGCCGTGGGCTACAGCCCTGAAGACAGCTCCTGTATTCTGGACCCCTCAGGCCACAGGACCCTCACTGCAGCACTGCCCAGGGGTGGGCCTGGGGGAAGGGGTGCTCCTTGCACGATCAGCAGCTGAGACTGAGAGGGGATAGGGACAGCGTCAGAGCCAGGACTGGGTGTCCCAGGAGGCCCATATTCTTCTAGAACCTAGACTTGCCTCAAGGAGGCACACTGGTGGAAATCACCTGGGTCCTTGTGTCCTGTGGGGAGCAGCTCAGGTGGCTTGGCGTTTTCATGGTTGGTGTCGCACCTGCTGGGGTTCCAGGTGGGAGTGACAGGTGGGCTCCTGCAGGGTCCTCCAGCACCTGAGAAACTGTGGATCCCCTGGCTTCAGGTTACCATGTGAAGCAAGCCTGCAGTGAGGTAACTGGCACAGTGTGTGTACCTTGCCCCTCAGAGTACTACACCGCCCACCCCAATGGCCTCAGCCAGTGTCTGCCCTGTGGAAAGTGTAAGCCAGGTAGGAGAGTGGACAGCAATGAATGTCTGGGCACCTCCATGGTTGCTTTGCGGGGACTGCCATCAGGGGAACCTTAGGCTTGTGCTTACCCTATCACGGTCACCTGGGCCTTTCTGAGGTCAGGTCTGGCTGGTGATGAGGCCTGGAGCTAGCACATGAGGGCCTGTCCACATGGACTTGTGCCCTACCTCTGTCTTCTGCTTTGCCTCTCTGCCTGCCTGGGTGACTTGGGTGGCTGACACAGGTCTCTCTCATGCCTTAGTTTCTCTGTCTATGAAGTGGGTCTTGGGAGGGGGTGGGGATCCACTGGGGACCATCAGCCTCTGTACTCACCCTTTCTCCTCCTGATGTGGGGGCCCCATATGACCCCACAGGAAGGGTTACTAGGAGGATTGGTGGCCACCAGTCAGGGAGGGGAGGCCAACCCTGTGGAAGATCCTTTGAAGTAGTGAATGCAGGAGGCCAGGGGCTCTCCCCAGACACTGACCTAGGTGATCCTATGCCCACCCATACAGTTGCCTGCTCAGTGTCCACCTCACTCCTAGAGCGGGAGGGCAGGAGACTGACCATTCCACAGATGGGAAAATGGAGGCTCTGAGCCACCTAAAGCACTCTGCTGAATTGCAGAGCCAACTCACTCATCTCTTTCCTTTAAACTCCAGTCACTGTGGACACACATTGGTGTGTGTGTGTGTGTGTGTGTGTGTGTGTGACACACTTCTAAAAGTGAGGGGACAGAGTATCAGGGTTGGGAGGGACAGAGGTCCAGACTTAGGCAGAACCCAGGCCCAGACACTTAAGCCAATGCTGTGTCCTTACCAAAGGAGGCTCTGGCCAAGGTTCAGCTCAGAGTGCATCAGGTTAGGCCATGCCTGGCTCAACCTGCAGGACAAAGTTGGAAGCACGTGTGGGAGGCAGTTCTGGAGCACAGGAAGGTGACTGGGGAGGAGGGACTGGACAGAGACAAGCTCAATCTCCTGGGGTCTGGACCTCAAGCTGCACCCACAGTCTCCTGACCACACCTCCCCCCTCACAGCTGTCTGATCTGATTCAGGGTGTGGGGTGCGGCTGGCAAAGGAAGCTATCCTCAGGAGGGGCCCAGAGGGGCAGTTTCAGGCCAGCTGCAGGCGCCCCCTCCTGGCCAGCTAAGGAAGCACAGATTCTCCTTGCACCTGACTCTGCCTTCTGGCTAGCCTGGTCCCTGAAGAGGGAAGCCAGGCTGAGGGTGGCTGTCCAGTTGGGCAGGCCTGGGCTTGGGACCTGCCTCTTGAGGCTCTGCTCAACTGCCTGAGCTGTGTCCTGTGTGGGCCAGACTGGACAGAAGGCTTCAGTCTCCCCATGGATCCAGTGTCCCTATCAAGGACCTGCTGGGTTTCTGCCACCTGTTGCTGTTGCCGTCCCTGCTGCCCTTATGGGACTTGGACCCTCTGTGTCTGGCACCCCTGGGCTGAGTCCCCAACCTGTAGGAGCACTCAATTCATCCCCTGCAGTTAGAGGTGACACTCTCATTGTTCAGCTGCCCTTGCCAGACCTCTCAGCTCCTTGTCTTCGGGCCTAGAGATGGGCCTGGTGGCCTGGCAGGAATGCTCCCGCACCCAGAACACAGCCTGCCACTGCAGCCAAGGCCACTTCTGTGTGTCTGAGAATGAGGACCAATGTGAAATGTGCTTGCCTCACACCACCTGTGCCCCGGGCCAGAGGGTGCAGAACAGAGGTAAGCAGGCTGGTGGCACTCATGCCTCATCCCCACTGTCTCTCTGCCTGGAGTCCCATGTCCTTGATCTCATGGACAGCTCAGGACCTTGGAAGGGACAGGAACCTTGGCCAACCCCAGGCCCACCCATCCCAGTCCTGTACTGGCAAGAGGAGGAAAAAGCTGTGGGGGGCGGGGGGCTGGGGGAGGGAGAAAGGAGAGACCAGAGGAGAGAGGGGAGGGAAGGGAGGGTAGAGGAAGCTGGGAAAGGGAAGCAGCTCTGGTTTCTCTACTTTCCGGTCAGACCCTGATTCCTCTCACCTTCTTCTCGGGTGCAAGGCAGGGAGTAACATGGGCTGATGAGGTGGCCTGTGGTCAACCCGCTCTTCACCTTGGGTGTGAAGTGTGAGCTCAACTCCCGCCCAGTGCCTGACCAGGGAAGCCCCCATGATGTTTATGGAACCAAGGCAAAGGGACCCCTGGACTCTTCAACCCCTGCCTCTCCATATCCAGGACAGCCTGGGGCTCACTACCCCACCCCTCTCGAGCCTTCTGAGGGGATCACCTGGCTTCCTGAGGTCCCTCCCCCAACCCCCAGAGCAGCCTGGAGTGGAAGTCCCCAGAGAGAAAGACCCCAAGCCCTGCATCAGGGAAGCACAGAATGTCAACCTCCCCTCTCCCTCCCATGGCCCCTCTGCCATTCCCTCTCTACCTCCCAGGCAACCACAGTCACGACACAGTGTGTGCTAACTGCCCACCAGGGACCTTCTCACCTAATGGGACCCTAGAGCAATGTCTACCATGGACCAGGTAAGTGATCCTTGGTGGGGGGTCTCAGCCCATGCCCTGGGAGGGAGCTCTTCCTGCTCCCTGGAAGGGGGAGTGCCCTCAATCAGCACAAAGAGCTGCTGGCCTCAGCCTGCGCTCACAGACAGCAGGTCACTTAGCCAGGACTAGTCTTCAGCCCCTGCAGCCCCGCTTCTGGAGGCGCAGCCTGGACTTGCCTGGAGCAGCTCCCAGGGAGGCTGCTACCTGATCCCGCTCTGGGATGCAGGTAACTAGATGTCAGGGAGATGGGGGGCGGGGTTTTCCCTGCACTTCTGGAATTGGAGGAGGCTCTAAGAAGCAGTTCTCAAAGTGAGGACCCTGCTCCTCCTAAACATGACCCCTTCAAATGTCAGTCTCTGACCCCAACCTGACCTGCCTCCTTGGGGTCTCTGTGTGGAAACTGGTATCCCTGAGTAGAGCCTGAGTGGTTGACTTGTGGCTGCACTTCTCTCCTAGGTGCCAGATGTGGCTTCAGAAAGAATCAGAACCTGGCACCAGCAGCACAGATGTTACTTGCTCCCTCTCATGGAGCGTGTGTTTGCTCTTGGCTATCCTTGTCATCTGTGTTGTCGTAATAATCGTCATAATCTTGTGGAAGCAAAGAAACAAGACAACCAGTGAGTAATGCTACCCATTCCCATTGGGTTCAGGTCCCCACAGGTGCAGCTCAGAGACTCCCGCAGCTTGGCCCTCCAAACCCTGGGAGGCGGCCACCTGGGCCTTGCAGGATTCCTGGTCCCCTCTCTGGGGCAGTTGCTGTTGAGTGGGAAATGGACCTCCTGCCTTGCTCACAGTCCAGGTGTCAAGTGGCCTTCCTAGAGGGGTGGCAAGGTAGGGATCCCTGACCAAGGAGCTTCTGCCTCTCCTGCCCACTCCTGAGTGTGGACCCCCAAGTCCCATCTGCCTCTGGGGACCTTGGGGAACCCAGTGCAGGATGTACTCAGCCTGAATTGCTGGGGTAGGAGGGACATCAGCTGGCCTGCCATGGTCAGGCTGTGTCCTCACAGACAAGGCCAAGGATCCTTTACTCCTTGTCCAGTGTGGCATCTTTTCTGGCCCCTCAGCTGTTTCAGGCTGAGCTGGGCACCAAAGCAGCTTGCACACCCAGCTCAGGCTTGGCAGCCCCATGAATGGTCCAGGGGAGCAGGCACAAAGCAAGGAAAGCAGAAGAGGCCAGGGGCGGGGCACTTTCAGGTTTGAGCTCAACTCAGCACATCTGTGTGTCCTCACCCCTGGTGAGGGTGCAGGGAGGTGTGGGCCCCTCAGGCTCAGAGGCAGGCCAGGAGTGGCCCAACTCTGTAACCCCTGCTCATGGGCCTGGGCAGGACCTCTCCACTGTGATGTGTTCTCTCCTCTTACATGGATGGTGAGTAAATTAGGGTGTCCTGTGCACAGGAGCTCTGACCTCTCACAGGCCGGGCCTTCTGGGGGGTCAGGCTCACCAAGGAGCTGCCTGCACAGGTCACCTTGTTTCAGAGTCAGACTCCGGGGAAGGCCACCCAGCCAAAGGCCAGAATGGGGGTTCCACCTCACCTTCCTGTGAGCCAGTGTCCCCTAGTCATTAGCTCTGGACTGCCCCCTAATGTGAGTGTCTTGTATTACAGGCCGTGGGATTATGGCGGTGTTCTCTGACCAGGTATCATTTCTCAGCCATTGTCCCCACACAGTTGACATGTCTTGGGGTGTTTGGGTGGAGGGTGTGTCCCAGCTGGTTGAGGGCTAGTCTGTAGCCAGGCTAGCCCCTCAAGTTGAGGACAGTAGGTGGCCCCGAGGACCACAATGCCCATGGGTTGGGAGTTGGAAGGTGGGCCTTCATTCTGGATTTATCTGGCAGCGGAAAAGACAGAATGAAGCCAGCAAGTCTGCAGTTACTGAGGACCTGCAAACCAGGGAAGCCATCACCATTGTGGCTGTGGAGGAGACATCTCCCATGTTCCCCAACCGCTGATCAACAGAATGGGCAACTGGATAGCTCAGACATCTAGAGTGGCCCCTGATGGACACTGGTGGTGGTGTGATCCCCGTCCTGGGCTTGGGCTTGCGGCAGCCTTCAGCAGTGGGAGAGATGGGCTCGCTGCTCAGGTCCCAGGGGTTGTCACATGTCTTTCCCTTCCATCAAATTGGGTCCAGAGGCCTCCTTCCTGCCTGCTCTGGTGCTGCCTGAGCTCCCTCTGTCATACCAGCACACTGAAGATGCATGACAGCTGCTGCCAGCCCACTGCACTGCTTCCTACACCTCGCAGTTGGCCCAGAATGGCACTTATCCAGCCCCAGCTCTCTGCCTGTCCTGGGTCCCGGTGAGCCTCAGCTTGCCCGTCTGAAGATTGGGCCTGCAGGCACTACCTCATGGGGGTGGGAACTGCACCTGTGTGATTGCTCATCTTGGTTGTCACTTTGGCAGGGTCCTCCTCCTTAAGTTTCTCGTACAGCTGGGATGACAGGTCTGCACTACCATACCGAGCCTCCCTCCTTTATTCTATTTGTCATTGAAAATACATGTCTTGTTGAATGTTTTTTAAATTTTTTAATATTTTTATTTATTTTTTTGGTGGTACTAGGGTTTGAACTCAGACCCTTGCGCTTGCTAGGCAAGCCCCCAGCCCTGAAAAAATATATTTTGTTTAGATGCTTTGTCACTGTGCAAATGTGTTATGTTTCATCAAACTTTCGTTGCACCATGATTATGCTGGTGGCTGCGACATGGTGACATGTGTCCATGGCAGGAGGAGCACCCCATCCCACCATGTGCCCACTCACTCACACACTGATGTGATAAACTCATGTCTCCTCTTCTCCTCACTGGGTTCAGTTCCATCACTGACGTCATTTCCTGGCCCTGGTGTTTTGTGAGTGTCCCAGCTGAGGGACAAGGCTTGTGGGGCCACAGGGCTGGGTTCTTGGCCCAACTTGCTCTTTGCATCCCAGTGGGTGGAGTAGCTCAGGTGCACTAGCAAGGGACTCTGAGGTAGAGTCTTGGAGAAACCAGAGGGGGAAAAGGGAGATACTGCACTGCTGTGGCCTCCTGAAAACCTCAGCTCTGAGTCACCACCTGGCATGGCCACAAGACCGTTCTCTTCCAGTTCCTGGACAGCAGCTGCCCATGGCAGCTGGAGTGGCTGAGGGAAAGCCCTGGGTGTGTTGGCTGTGGGACTGCATTACCACCTGTTTCATGGAAGCTCCCGGGCCACTCTTCGAGGTCAGATGGCGCCTGTCTGCACAGACCCCTTTGCCAAAGGTAGTCCTACCCACCATGCTGTGCACCTCACCCTCCTCCCATCCACACAGGGAGGGCTTAGCCCGAGGGGCCTGAGCCCCGCTGGCCCTCCCTACTGCACCTCCCTACTGCACCCGTGCACTGCCACAGCTGGCCAGGAACTCCGAGGGCTGCCATGTGGACCACCTGGGTGTCTGCCTAGAGTGAGCTCCTCTCCCTGCCTGCTGCTATCTTGGCAGGAGCTGGGCAGGACCAGGTGGAAGCTACAGCTTGGGGCTCATAGGGACACTTAGCTGTGTCCCATGTGGAAAGTCCTCCTCTCTGGCACTGAAAGTGGAGTTTTGAACCCAAGGCCCCAACTCCTGGGATTCCACATGCCATTCCAGCCACCTGCCCCTGTACACCAAATAAAGAAGCATAGTGAAGGACAGAGAAAGGAGGTTTATTACAGGGCTCAGACATGATGTGGGAAGAGCAGAGAAGGCACTCAGCCTGTTTTCAGCCATCTTTAGGGTACAGACATGAGCTATAGGTTTAAGTGGATGGGGGCAGGGCACAAATGTATGCATAGTTAAGCAGTCCCAGTCACAGGTGTGTTCTGGCTGACCATTATCTCAGTCCCAGGGCTCTGAGAAGGGGTCTGGAGAAGTTCTTACCGCTGTCATCACTTGAGGGGAGCAATCTGGTTCCCATGAGATGATTACTCCTGCTCCAGGGTGCAGCTCCATCACTACAGGTAATTGTCCTCATTTGGGGGGTGCAGGAAAGAATGGCTCAAAGGATAATAGTTACAAAATGGAGGCAGATACCAAGCTTCTCCTGTGTTTAGTTAATTCATGGGCCCAAGGAAGGAGTCAGTGCTTTTCAGCAAAAGCAGCTTAAGCACCTCTCAAAACACCAGGACCCCAAACCCTGCCCCCAGAGCTATATGTAATGTTCCTGAGGTAGTGCTCCAGGTGTCACCTTAGTGGGTGGGTCCTTCACCCAGCAGCCACTGTCTCCCTGGAGCTCGTGATTCCCAGCACTGTGGGCCCCAGCCATGGTGTCGTGGGCTTCTGAATAGCCTCCCTGCCAATGGGCCAGGGTTGAGACACCACCCTACAGCTGTGGGAAGATGGGGACCTGAGGTCAGGGAGAGTGTGCTCAGCCTAGAGAGGGGTAGGTAGCACAGAAGCAGGGGAGAGAGGAAAGGTGACAAGATGTAGCCAGAACCTTGGTGAGTGGGTAGTGGCGGGACCACCACAGTGGGGCTGATAGTGCTGTATGGCTGGAGCCCAGGTGTCAGCTCCACAGGCTGGGCCCATATAAGCAGACAGCCCCAGCCTGCTGGTGCGGGTCTGGCCTCTGTATCCCAGCTACCCAGCTGCTCAGTCAGGACCCACTGGGCCAGCAGTGCCTGTAAGTACCCTTGGCCAAGGGAGGGAAGTAGCTGGGGTTTGGCTGGCCTGAGCAGCCTGCAGCATGCCCACAAGGACACTGGGCAGGGAGGAAACATGGTGACCAGTTGAGAACCCGGGGTGAGATGAGAGGGGCAGTAGGCAGCCCAGGAGGGCAACCTTGGTGGGCAGCCCAGGGACTCAGGGCCAGCTCTGAGGGCCAGGTATCCATCAGACAAAGTAGATGGGGATGGTAGTGTTGCAGGAAGTTGCTAGTTGAGATACGGGACACTGAGGCAATTTAGCAGGAAGCAATGTTTTATTGTGTCAGCACAGACCCAGTGGACTCGTGTCCAAAGGCTGGGCCCCAAGAACAAAGGGGTCTCACCTTATATACCCTTGCACGCAGGTTACAGAAGTAAAAAGCAAGGTCTAATCCATATATGGTTATGTTTAATTTTATTGGCCACTTTACCCTAGTGCTACCTGACTTTCCCCTCCCCGGTGCTACGTGACCTTCCTCGTGTTCAGATTTCTCAGGTTTTTTCTCTCTGCTTTTCCATCCCTACCTCCCTGCTCCTTTCTCAGGACTCAGGCCTAGTTTGTTTTCTTCTGATCCTCCTCCCTGCTACAGTAGGGGGTCCCCTAAAGCACCCTCCTGACCAGTCCCCCCTCTAGCTATAGGGGACAGGGCCTTGTCTCACCCACACACAATAAATATGTGGATGAATGAGTCCTCAGGCACCTGTGCAGGAACCCTGAGGGGACGCACACTTGTGGGTATCACTGATTCTAGGGTTTCTCAGTGGACAGGAAATGCAGAAGAGATATAGATGGGGCTCACACAGGACAAACCCTACAACATGCCACCAAAAGTAATAATAGCAGTGGAGCTGGGGGACGTGGCTCAAGCAGTGGAGTGCCTGCCCAGGAATCCCAAGACCTTGAGTTCAAACCCCAGCACCGCCAAAAAAAAAAAAAAACCAACAAAAAATAAAACAAGGGATTAGAGTCCTTGAATACAATAAAAAGCCGGGAGGCCTCAGGAGAAAAGGAAAAGGCCCTGGAAGCTAATGTCCCCAGGCAGTGGCAGCAGGGATAGAAGCACTTGCTTAAGAAGGACAGAGTTTGTCCATATTTACTGGCTCCCTTTTCTTTGGCTTTTATTCCATCTGGGCTCCTGGTCTATTGGGGCAGGTCTTTCCCCCTAAGGCGCTCTCTCATCTGTCAGTCTGAGGCAGGCTAGACTTAGAGAAAGTTTGGGACTCATAGAACATACATGACTGAATACTGTATTTCAGGTTGAATATTCTTCTCCTTCTCTGAGCCTTCTTTTAAATTACTAATGCCTATAGGTTATTCACATCCTGGCCCGGGGACAACTCAAACCATCCCTACCTGGCCCTGGGACCACCCGTTCCCTTCCCCATCCATCAATTATTGATGGTTAGGAATCACCAGTTCTCTTCTCACAGGGCTAGTGGTAGGATTTGAACCCCGTTTGACAGAAGGTGTGTGGGGTCCTTTCACTCCCCGAACCATGGCCTTGACTCTCCTGCTGCTCAGGGCTGAAGCAAACCCACGGCAGCTGCCACACTCCTGCCAGGCCCACAGCAGTGCCCAGCAGGAGCCATCCTTAGATGTATGAGATGTCTGGTCACCTAGGCTGTTGATCAGTGGTTGGGGAACACAGGAGACGTCTCCTCCATGGTTATGTGGTAACAGCTGGCATGGTTTGCAGGCTTGGTAAACCACAGACTTACTGGCTTCATCCTGTCTTCCACCGCTGGATAAATCAAGAAAGAGGACCTCCCTTCCAGACTCCAGTTCATGGGGTTTGTGGTTCTCAGTGTCATTTTACTGTTCTCAATTTGCGGGGCTAGCTTGGCTGAGGACTAATGACCTGGGCCCTCAACTAGTTGGGGACACCTCCACCCAAACACCCCAAGACATCAGTGTGTGGAGGGGAGGTTGATAAATAAGAAGAAATGCCTAGAGAACGCCTGTCACCCTGGCTACAGTCCGCAAGACACAGCAAGGCAAACTTATCAGGGAGGGGCCAAGTGAAAGAACAGGTGACATGGGAACAAGGCAAAGGGGTTGGGACCCACATTCTGGGCTTCCTGCTGGGTGGCCTTCCTTGAGTCCAACCTTCTGAGATAAAGTGAGGTGGCCTGTGGAGGTGGCTACTTGATGGACCTCCCCAGCTGCCAGATCCAATCCACAGCATACCTCTCGTTTTTTGCTGGGGCTGGCCTCAGACTCCATTCCTCCTACCTGCCTCCTACATAGCCGGGATTACAAGCACGTCGTGCCACACCCAGCCCTCTCTTCTGTTTCATAAATGTAGGAGATGAAATTACTGTGTGAAAGATGCCCTCCCTACACTGGGAGAAAAAGCAACACCCTTATCCTCAAGGAAATCAAGAGCACTGAAAGAATTCCTCATTTAAATGATTACCTTTTTGCCTCCCCACACAATTTAGCTGCCTCTTTCCAATTTACGTGTGAACACGTACACAACGCATGTGTCTGAGTAGCCTGCTGTGCTCTTTGGTCACTTGCTTGGCTGTGATCTTCTGCACTCCTCTTTCTTCCCTCTGTGGGCTCCCCCTTGGCTCCTGCACAGCCAGTTACTACCAGAGGCGCAGAGGCAGGCGGATGGAGTCCCTGCTCTTTGGGTTTCTTCTGCGGGTGCCTCTGAAACTGGCTGCTCCAGCTCCCAGGAAGGTGGCAGACCTCCTCCACAGGATGGAGCTGCTCTGGGGGCAGCTCCTGTCTTGTTTCTGGCTGCTATTAACTCCTAGACGCCTCCCTTTCCTCCTCTTGCTCTTCCTGCCTTCATTACCTGGAAAATGAATTCCCCTTCTTTTTCCTTATTTGTACCTATTGATTGCACAGAATAATGGCTTTCGTTATGACATCTTCACACGTGTATAATATGAGTTCCTTTTTTGACATGGTGACACGGTCCTTTTTTTCCTTCCTGGACCTTCAGTCTCCAGCTCCATCATCCTCCCAGGATCCTCCTGGGCCTTGGCTTTACCATCTCTTCCGGGGGTCCTGTAGGCAAGGCCAGCACTAGGAGCGACAAACCTTGTGCTCATCTGGGACTCCTATCCGAGTCAAGCTGGGCCTCAGGCGCTTGGTGGGAACTCAGTGATTCTAGAAGACATCCCAGGGCTGTACTGAGGGAAAAAACCTATTCCCAAGGCACCTAGTAAGCGGTGCATTGCTGTTTGTCCCTTTGGGTCCGTATTACCCCAGCGTTTGGGGGTTAAAAGCTGATATGTACCGGCATGAAATTGACAGTACTTTATGATTAAAGACAAGCCAGGCTTGTAAGGGAGAGAACGCTGCAATAAGCTTAACCCTGATCCCGCCAAACCGCGCTCCCCGCCCCGCAGTTACAGAACACACTCCGACTCCCTTCAACCCTCCCGCACGTGGTGTAGGCGCACCACGTGTGGAAGGCTGCCATTGGCCAACGCACTCATGCATATGCAAATAAGGAGACCCACTTCCGCCCCTGGCCTCGGCGAAGGGACAGACAATCGAGGACCGAACTTGGGGCGTGTCCGGGGCGTGTCTGTGCTGCGGTGCGGCCATCTTGGGGTGGAGTCTGGAGCTGGGAAGGTGGGGTGGTGTAGGAACGGAACGAGAACCCAGAAGGAATGGGGCGTGACCAGGGTGTGGCCAAGCGACCTAGGGGGCGGTCCCGGGAGGTGGGGCAGCCCTGGGGACCGGGGCGGGGTCGTGGGCGGGGTCGTGGGCGGGTCGAGGGCGGGGCGGGGCCTGGCTCTGCCTGGGGACGGCGCATGAGCGAGTAGCTGGCCTGGCTGCGGCCGGGAGCCGGGAGCACGGACCGGAGGCTGCAGCCATGAGTGCCGTGGACCTTGCCCGCGTGGGCGCGTGTGTCCTGAAGCATGCAGTGACTGGGGAGGTGAGGCCTGGCCGGCATAGGGCGGTGGGCGCGACCGGACACCTGCGCTGGCGCGGTGACAGGTCACCCGGGCGGGGGTGCGGACCTGAGGGGTCCCCTGGCGGCGCGCAGGCTGAGAGTGGGTGCAGCTGGCCGTGCGCAGAGCACGAGGACCGGAGGGACTGCGGGGCGTGGGGCGTGGGGAGTGGGCCCGCACCCCCTGACCGCGCCGGCCCGCAGGCGGTGGAGTTGCGGAGTCTGTGGCAGGAGCAGGCGTGCGTGGTGGCCGGGCTGCGGCGCTTTGGCTGCATGGTGTGCCGCTGGATCGCCAAGGACCTCAGCAGCCTCAAGGGTCTCCTGGACCAGCACGGCGTGCGCCTTGTGGGTGTTGGGCCCGAAGCTTTGGGCCTTCAGGAGTTCCTGGATGGTGGCTACTTCTCAGGAGGTGTGACCCTTCCCCACCCAGGGCACCGATCCCTCTGCCCAGCCCTGACCATCTCTCTCTAGGCAATGTCTGGATGGGCTCATCTCTCCCCCTGCCTCGTTTCCAGGTTGTGCCCTGGCAGAGCTCTGGGCCTAGTGGCAAAGTTCCTTTCAATTCTGCTCTGGAAGCTCCACTGGTCACCTCTGGACCCTTTCCTTTCCTTCCAGACCCTGAACCCTACCCTGCCATCCAGGCCTGGGTGGGGCTGGAATGGGGCCTGGTGTGCACACCTGTGACTTTCCCTTCTAGATCTCTACCTGGATGAGAGCAAGCAGTTCTACAAGGAACTGGGCTTCAAGCGGTAAGTGTGCCTGTGTGGGGGCACAGGGCTGGCGAGAGGCAGAGTGAACTGGGTGGCCACCACCCTCCTACCCTCTGCTCCACTGTCCACTCAGTCTGCCCCTGCTCTGGTGGCATTGGCATCTCCTGCCAGCCCTTCTTTTTTTCTTTTAATTGTCGTGCTGGGTGTGGGTACACTGTAGCATTTATGAAGGTTCTTATATCAAATGTATCATGCTTGAACTCTGCCCCCAGCAAGCCCTTCTTGAGGGGTTTTGTCTTGGCTGTTGTTCTAAATAGGCTTTTCACACAGACCTACCTTCAGTAGGCTTGGGAACCCAGTGCTTCATTTGGGCCATCCCCAGCCTTCTAGTGCCATAGGCTGCTTTTTGTGATTGGCAGTGCCAGCTGAACCATATTCCTGGGCCCACCTAGCCCAGGGCCTTCTCCCTACCCCCTCTGCAGGGCCCCAGGTCAGCCATACTCAGAGATCCTTTTTTTTTTTTTTTTTTGTGGCAGCACTGGGGTTTAAACTCAGGGCTTCACGCTTGCTAGACAGGTGTCTACCACTGGAGGCACACCAGCCAGGTCAGCCATACTCAGACTGGGTGCCCAGAGGCTTGGGGAACTGCTCCTGGCTGGGCTGGTTGCCGATCTGGTTGCCTGGTGCCATCTCTGAGCCTCTGCTGGAATGAGTGGGTGGAGCAGAGTCTGATCCTGAACTGGTCGGTCTGTGCATGTGGAGGAGAATGGGCCAGGCAAAGGGGCTGTGGCTCAGCCAAAAGATCTGGGCCAGGGAACTGGTGTCTTTGCAGATACAACAGTTTAAGCATCCTGCCGGCTGCCCTGGGAAAGCCTGTGCGTGACGTGGCTGCAAAGGTTTGTGGTGGCCAAAGTCATTCAGGACTAGGGTGTGGTGGGAGCTGCTGGGGGCTTCCCTATGGGACTGACCTAGACCCTGTTCCTCTCCTTCCAGGCCAAGGCTGTTGGCATCCATGGGAACCTATCTGGAGACCTGCTGCAGAGTGGAGGGCTGCTGGTAGTCAGCAAAGGTGGGTTTCTGGGCAGGGCTCCAGGGCCATGTCCTCAGGGAAGGCTTGCTGAGATTGGCAGCTATACCCTGTTCCTCTCTCTGGTGTGTCCATCTCCTCACAGCTCTTCTGTGGTATGTGCCCTGAGTGGGCATGGTGGGGGCTGTGAGCAGAAGAGCTCTCTCATCTTGATAACTGGGTAGGGGTCAGGCTGTCGGACTACTGGGCTCAGCCAGCTGGACTACTCCCTCTTTGAGTGCAAGGTACAGGCAATCTCCCAGGGCACCCTGATCACCTGCCTGTCACAGGTGGTGACAAAGTGCTGCTGCATTTCGCCCAGACGTCCCCCGGTGACTATGTCCCTCAGGAGAGCATCCTGCAGGCCCTGGGAATCTCTGCAGAGGTCAGCACCAGCAAGCCACCCCAGGTGAGCCCAGTCTGGGGGGCACTGCTTGTTCCTCTCGCCCATCAGGTGTACACAGTTCCCCTGGGCCAGTACTTGGCGTGGCTAGGTACTGAGCTACAGCCTCTCAGGATTCATGTCATTTTGTGCTCACTAGCAGTCCCAGGATATAGCTGTCAGTGTGATCCCATGTGCAGGGGGGTAACAGGTTGAGGGGGACCAAGAGGCAGTGTTAGCAGATGGCAGGGGTATCCCCTGTGAGTGGTGGGCTGCATAGAGAACAGTAGGGCAGAGAGAGGACTGAGGAGGGCTGGGTTTGTTCACGGTGTCCCTGTTGGGTATTAGTGTGGTCCTCATGGGTCACCTATGCCCCAAATAGAGGGGAGTGACCTACAGATCAGGTCACCTTGATAGCATGCTTCTGTCTGTATTTGGGTGGGTAGCCACTGCTCTTGGCCCCGGGGTAGTATGGCCCACCTGACAGGGCTCCTGCTGCCCTGCAGTGTGACAACGAGGTATGTGGGAGGTGACAGCCCTGACTGCCACAGACCTGGCAGGCCTCTGCACACGCAGGGAGTTGGACTGGAAGAATCCTTGTGGAGTTGCCAGACCAGAATACTGGACCTTGCTAGATTCTTGAGCAATGGTGAACCATTAAAGTGTAGTCCCTGGGTGGCATGTTTCTTCTCTGCCTCTGAACTCTGCGTCCTCTGCACCCACCCTCACACACTGTCCACCCCTCTGTCCAGGTTGGAGGGGTCGAGATACCATCTTCCCACCCATGCAGTCTCTGCAGACCTCAGGCCTCTGGCCCATGGGGCACTGGGGACAACCCTGTCATTTCTTTTCAAGGCAGGGTTTGATTGGGCTCTGGCCTCAAGCTCCAAATTGGAGCCCAGGCTGGGGAAGTAGGTGTGTATGGGGATCAATGCTCTTGCCTGGGGGCCTCTGGGAGGCTAGTTGGGTTTTCCAGGAGGAGATGGTTTTGACATTACCTGGTGGAGTTAGGGGGACCATCAGAAACTCAGGAACTGGCTCCAGTGCCAGAGGTCCTTTTCGGATCAGAGAACCACAATGTGCAGCCTGCGGGGGACAGCTGGTTGAGAGAAGTTTTGGTTCCATTCAGTATTGGCCATCTTCCCTAGGGGGTCCTAACAGGTCCCCCTCCTATTTCAGGCCTCCAGTCTATGAGTGGGTTTTGACGGCCACCTCAACACCTCCCTCAACCTCTCTAGTCCAAGCCTTGGTGACCTTGATGTATCCTCCTCAATGGCTTTGACCACCCCCAGAGGTCAGCTACAGACAGAGCCAATGAGGCCAGTTTGCATTCTACGCCTCTGGGTTCTAGTTATACAGTGCTGAGAGTCCAGGTTCCCAGCTGTGCTCCTTGGTTCCTTGGCCACCTGCTGATCACAGCTCCTTCAGTCAGTTAAACAGTGGTCCCTATCTGAGCTGTGGTTTCTTTTTTTCTTTTTTGGTGGGCTAGGGTTTGAACTTAGCTCTACCCCTTGAACCATACCTCCAGACCATTTTGCTCTGGTTATTGGGAACTATTTGTCAGGGCTGGCCTTGAACTGCCATCCTCCTGATTTCAGCCTCCTAAGTAGCTGGGATTACAGGTGAGAGCCATTGGCCTCCCCCGCCCCCCCTCCCCCCCCCCGCCCCCAAGTGGGGACATCTTGATCACTGCCGGATTGGCCAGCAGTAGAACCCTGGGAGGCTTGGCAGGAGCCCTTCTCTCCCCACCAGCTCCTTGCTGTAACCTTCCTATCAGGCCACAATTTGCCACCTGACTGACCATAGGCCCCTCCTACAAACAAGGCAGTTGTCTTCTTTGGAAGCATTTACTTAGCTCAAGTCTGAAGCTCACAGACATTTGACTACAACACGCTTTGGAGTGGGCGGAAGACAGTTGACCACGTCTATAGGGCTGTGATGGGGGCACGACCCTCGCAGCCTGGAGGGGGCACGGGGGCCAGGAATCCGTGCCGGGCGCTGCTCATCCCGGGTGTCTGCTGGCATGGCTGTCCTCCAGGCAGGCACGGTGGGCAGGTGGGTGGTGGGCTCAGTGGCCGCCAGGCGCGAGTGCACGCTGGTCCCTACCGGCTGCACAGTCTTAGAGCGGACGCCTCCCGGTGGCGGCGGTGGGCAGTGGGCCGCGCACTGCGGCTTGGCCTTGGCTACCAGACGCGGCATCGGTCCCTGGGGTGCATGTGAGTGCCCCGGGTGCAGTGGAATGCTTCGGAGAAGGCAGCCAGGTTCTGCAGGGAGCCCAGGACCCTGTGGATAGGCGGAGGAAGAGGCCTGAGACCCACAGTGGGTGGGGGGCAGGAGTGGGGGCAGGGATGGCGGGACTTGGGACACTTGCCTGTACTTTAGGGGACTGTGGACGTCAGTCTTGATGGACTGGACGGCGAACTCTGGCCGGTAGGACCCACACCAAACCTGCCAGTGCAGGAAGGGCGTGAAAGGGGCACTCCTTCATTGCAGCAAGGAGTCCCTAATAGCCCCGGCTGCCCCTTCTGGGGAGGGGCCAGGGAAGGCAGCAGGCTCCTCTCTCTCCACACCTGCAGCTGCCTCCTCCTCAGAGGACTTCCATTGCCCAGCCCCAGCCCCTTTCTCCAGGAAGCCTGCCAGGCCCAGTAGCTCTGGTTCTGGAGAGTGGCCAGCTACAGTGACCCTGGAGGCACCCCATAGTGGGCCCTGCAAAGATGGTGGGCTGAGAGGCCTGAGGACTGGTGGAACCAGTACTAGGCTGCTACCTGGGCATAGTTGATGAAGAAAAGCTGGTCATAGGTGAGTTCCAGTCCAGGCAGTAGCTGATCCTTGCCGCCATCTGCCATCCACTTTAGGTAAGCCTGTGGGCACCGAACGGGGGCTGGGCCCGGCCAGGCCTCCCCGAGTCTTTGGATCCCAGTGCAGGATCGGGGTCTAGCTCCAGGACCTGCCCTGGGTAGGGGCCCTGCCTCCCAACTCAGGGTCCCTGTATGGACTCCAGGGCCCAGCACTGGGAACCTGACTCCGCAGGCAGGGCTTAGTAGGGCCCTGACCAGGCAGCTGTCACTGGACACCCACCAGAATGAGCACTTACAGCTAAGGCTGTGTTTGGGGCTTCTGAGGCTGGTGGGCATGTAGCCCTACCCCATCATAGCACTCAGAGGTGAAAGTGACCTCCACACCAACTCAGGTGGGTCAAAAGTGGTTGAAAATGCCTGATGCTCATCCATGACCGTGAGGTGCTGGGCAGTGCTGCCTCCTCAGTGCAGGTAGAGGGGTTCCCAGGACACAGCCTCAGCTTGGGCACAGCTCCTGAGGCTCCCGTGTCCCATCCTTGGGGACCCCACCTGGACCCACCTTGTACGCCTGCCGCACCCCACCATTGTCTGCGATGTTTTCTCCCAGGGTGCTGAGCCCATTCACCTGCACACAGGAGATGGGATGGAAGCCCAGGCCCCACTCCCCTTGTCCCAGGGGTGAGGGCTGAGTGCAGGGACGGGGTTGCCTTGGTGCTGGTGGCACGCTTACATTCTGCTGGTCTGCCAGGTCCCAGGAGAAGTTGCTGTACTGGTCGACCATGCACTCCGATTGCTCCCGAAAGTGCTGGGCAGAGAAATTGCTCCACCAGTCCAACATGTTACCATTCTTGTCGAAATTCCGGCCTGGGCAGTGGCAAGGGCAGGACAGAGGTAGCTGTCCACTGGCTCCTGCCTGCACTGTCCATGCCCTGACCCCCCAGCAGAGGCCAAGCCAATGCCTGGCTGTTCCCTCCTGCAGGCAGAGCCAGTGTCTAGAGCCACAGTGCCCGAGCAGAGACGGCTCTGGAGAGCATCAGTGTGCTGAGAGGGGACGCCATCTTGTTGGGAGCTACTGAGCCCTCCCAGAGAAGGAGGGCATCCATGCCATCCCCTCCCCAAGGTTCGGGCTTGGAGTCTCAGGTTCTGAGGTCCCAGAGGCATGGTGGTTTTAGAATACCTCCTGTGACGTTCAAACTTTCTAAACCTGAGGTGAGGGAGTACATGGCCCTGAGGATGCCGGGCTGTCCTCAGGAGGACCACATGACTGAGCCACATAGGAAAACCAGCAGGGGACTTAGATATGGTGGCAGTTCCTCCAGTACGGCTGGTCTGGGCCCCAGCCTCCCACGTATGCCAGACAGAGTCTTCTGTGCCTATCTTACAGGCCCAGGGAGGGGGAGTGACCAGTCATTGGGGGAGTCAAGATCTTGGGGTCTAACTCTGTGTCCTGTCTCCATGCCTACAGTGGTCTCTCCAGACAGAACCCCTGGTGGCATTCTAGATCTGCTTGGCCACCACACCTCCCTGGGGACTCATGTATCTTCCCATGCACTTGGCCTCTGTTCCCAGTTAAGTCACAAGGAGGGTGAATGGATGGCCTGAGGCTGCCCAGTGGAGACAGGGGGCAGGTGCATTTCTGATCGGGGGCACCCCCCAGGGCCACCCTTACCATTGTCATCAAAGCCATGTGTGATCTCATGCCCAATCACCATCCCGATGCCCCCGAAGTTTAAGGCCTGTGGCTGCTCCTTGCTGAAGAAGGGTGGCTGGAGGATCCCGGCAGGGAACACTGTTCCCGAGTGGGGACAAGGAATAAACTGTGAGTGGGCACAGCTGTGTGCCAGACTTAGGAGGGCACCTCCAGGGGTCCTGTCATCTAATCCCATAGCCTGGGAGGTGGAGGTTAGGACTCCTGCCTGATGTATAAATGAGGAAACTGAGGATCAGAGGCTGAGAGAGCAGGGCTAGACCTAGGACCCCCATCCAGCTCTTTCCGATGACTGTGAGGAAGGACTCTGCTGTCTGCCCTGCATCCCTCCTGACTGGCTCAAGGTCACAGAAGTAAAGCTCCCCAAAGTAGCATGTAGGAGTGCCTCCCTTCTGAGGGTGGGCTGGGGTACCCATGGAGGGGGGCTGGGGACTGCACTCTGGCGCTAGAGGGATTTGGGAGTATGAAGGGATGGGCATACCGATCTGGTTTCTGTTGGGTGAGTAGAACGCATTGACCACTGCGGCCCCGATGATCCAGCTGTGATGAACACTCTGGTCACTAGGAGCCTGTGTTTGCTGGGCCCCTCCTTCTGGGCCCTCCCTGCCCTGGCTCACCAGGCTTGCCCTGAGGAGGCCCATGTCATAGTGGCCATGCCAGAGCAGGGTCCTGGGCCAATCATGAGATTTAATTCCTTTCTGGGGTCCCCCAAAACAGAGGGTGTTGGGGAGACTCTGAAATAGGTCCAATGTCCCTCCCCAGCTGGCATGGGGCCAACTCTGGCCAGGCACACAGCCATCCTTGCCCAGTAGGTAAGGCTTGCATGCTATGCTGGCCATTCCACTCACAGATTCTGGTCCACCTTTTCTCGAAGCTTCTTGAGGCTCCTCTGGGCATTGGCTTTGAGGTTCTGCAGACTGTTCTCAAAGTACAGGTCCTCTGAGAAGTGCAGCTATGGGAGAGGGGCAGTCACGGCCAGCGCTCGGGCTGGGTTCTCAGGGCCCAAGAGAGCATGGGGAGGGGTCAAGGAAGACTGGGAAGGGCCTCAAGACTGGCCAGGCAGTCTGGCAGGTGGCCCACAGACTCTAGCTGTAGGTGGATGGGAGCGGGCATCTTGGCTGTGAGCATTTGGGTGACTCCAAGCAAGCTCCTTAGTCCCTCTGAGCCTCATTTTCCCCAGCTGTAAACTGAGGTTGATGCTAGAGCCACCCCAGGGCATGGGAGGGTGGATAAGGGTGCTCAGCACAGAGTGCTGCCCTCAGATATCAAGGGCCTGTGTTGGGGGCAGGGGATGGGCAGAGCTCTTAGGGAACTGCAGGGCAGGGCGCACGCTGGAATACTCCTCATCCAGGCGCTTGTTCTTCTCCTCTAGGATGTAATCGGGGTAGCCGATCTGCTCCCGGATGTTCAGGGCCTGAGGAGGACAGGGGAGGCAAGTGGTGCTGCCCGCTGTGAGAAGGGAAGCCCAGCTTGCTGGCTCTGCTCCCCTTGCCATGTGGGTAAAGGGGTATTGAACTGGGCCCCTTCACCACTTTGTAGAACCAGCAGCCAGCCAGGATCTGTGTGTGTGTGGCAGAGGGCTTGGTGGAGTCATGTGACTGCTGTGTGTCACACAAGTTCAGAGGGACTTCAGGTGGTCCTGGTCCTTCCTGCAGAGACCGCCACCCCCACTACATGTCCCAGTCATGGTGTCCATTCAGTTTCCCTTTTCTGGAGAGGGAGGGTTGCCCTCTCCTCTGGGGCTCCTAACAGGCATCTAGCAGCTTTGTCTGGGTGGGCTCCTCGCGGCTGCCCAGGCCTTCAAGACCTCACCTTCTCTTGGGCTTTCTTCTTGGATTCCTCATCCATCCAGCCTAGCTCATCCAGAGTCTCCACAAACACCGCCTGCACCTTGTTGATGAGCTCTCTGACCTGGGGGACACATAAACCCTTGTGTCCTGGGCTGGCCCAGGGGAACATAGCCAGCAGTCAGGGTTTTCTAGGGGGCTGATCCAAAGCACCTCTGGGATGAGTCCAGGGCTGTCCTGGATGTATCCTCCTGGGTGACGTATGGCATTGATGAGAGGTGAGCACCCCTAGTTCAGGGGCCTCATCTGTGATTTGGCTCCTTGCAGGTGTGCTGAGGGTCTCCCTGCCCTGGACTCACAGCCTGTACAATTTGTGCCCTTCCCAAGTGGGCCCGAGTAGGAGATATAGCTTGGAGTGGCATGATGGAGACTGGTCCTCACCCACTCTGGGGCTGGGCCAGGAGGCTGTCCCTGGAACTGTGGACAGGGGAACAGCCTGAATGTGTCAGGAATCAGAGCCACTCACCAGTTTCTTGCTTTCCCCAGGGAAGGCCTCCTTGACATAGAGGGAACCCACGGCGCTCTCCATGTTGCTGTTGACGTAGCTGACACATTCCCGCCAGCGCACCTCCTCCACTGTTGTGCCATACAGTGCCTGGAGTGTTTGTTCACTCATTCATCTGCTTCCCCAGGTCTGCCATGGGGTCTTGGGTTTGTGAGCTGAGCAGATCTATTCTGCCCTGGGCTTCAGGGTGCCCAGGGGCAGGAGAGGGACACGGGATGACAGCCTGGCTTCTGAATGTTGACCATGGTTGTAGGAGGACAGGAGGTTTTGAGGGGGGGCAGCTCCCACCTGAGTCTTTACCCTGGGAGAGTTGGGAGTGGTCCTACTGAAATCTTGTCCTTGCCCACCGGACCGGCTGGACCCTGTCCCCAAGGCACAGGTCTGGCATTGACCATGGGGCAAGCTCTGGGACCAAGTCCACTTTGGCTACCAACCCCTGGGCCCTGGTTTTCCATGGCTGCAAAGGCAATGTGTGTCTGTCCCCAGTGATGGAGAGAACATGCTCCAATAAGGCTTTGCCCCAGACCTCAGGCGGGCCCAAAGAGAGCTCTGCCCAGTGTCCTGCCACTCCTTCCAGAGCGGTGGGTTTCCTGCCCTCGAGGAAAGGCTGTGACCCTTTCTCAGGTCTGAGCTCCTGACTTCCTGCACTGGCTGTTTCTGGAACTCTGCCTTCCTCTCTCCATGCCTTTCAGATCAAATGTCACCTTCATGGAGCAGCCCCCTGCCTCCTAGTCACACTTGATTTTCACAGAGCTGGGCTCTGCTTGTTAGCAGGCGCCTTTTCTGCCAGATTTGTGCCTGGCACCCAGTGTGGAGCTCCGTGTGTGGCCCAGGGCTTGTGTTTGGCATCATGAACTGAGTGGGATGAGGGCCTGGCCTGTGTGGGGGTGGACGCCTGCTCTGCAGTGCTCTCACCTTGCGATAGTTCACCCGAGCCTCCTTGAATCTCTGGCTCAGGCTGCTGATACGATCCAGCACCAGACGCCAGACCAGGTAGTTCTGGATGGTCCTGGGGTAGGAGGCAGGGGTGAGATGAGACAGGGGGAGAGGACATAGCTTGGGCAGAGGTTCTACCCACACGTTAATCTGGTGGCTGGAGAAACCTCTAGGAATCCACTCCTCTGACCCACTAGAGAGGCTCACTAGCCACTAAAACTGAACTTTCCATGTCTCTCACCCCAGAGGGTAAATGTGGGATGGGGTCCTCTCCTGAGAGCAGGAATTGTGGGTGGGGGGGGCAGGGGGAGTGGGGGGAGCAGGGGCAAAGATGCCAGGCTCTTGGGACCTTCCCTGGGCCTCACCTGGATGAGTAGACGTCAATGATGTCTTCGAGATTCTTCAGGTAGGGGCTGCCGTAAACCACCACTTCCTCATCCGGCAGCAGCTTGATTTTGACAGAGGACAGCACAGTTTGTATGAAGAGAGTCCAGTTGAACCCCTGGGAAGGAGACAGTCCCTGGGCATCTAAGAACACTCAAGAAGTAGGCGAGGAGGTGCAGACAGTCAGTACAAAGGATGACATTGCTACAAAGCCTTAACTGTGGCAGGGGTATGGGTGTATGCCAGCGTATTTGATGAATTAAGTGCAATGAGAAACATGCCTTGGCCAAAATGACAAAAGATGTAGAAAATATGAATAATCTTACAGACTGAATAAATGGAATTATTCCCACAAAAGAGTTTTCAGGCCCACCTGGCTTCTTGGAAGAGCCTTGTTTTGTGCTTCAATGGGGCCCAGGCCCAGAGCAGTGCTGGACACTTAGACACACACAGATAGACTAAAGACAATTTACACCAAAGATGGCACACACACCAGTGGTTCAAGGGGAGGGGCTGTCTTATCAATAAATGGTGCCAGATTATCTGAAAGCCATAAGGAGGAATGAAACAATCCCTACATCCCACTGTTTGCACAGAATCAACTCAAGGTAGATTGTAGACCTTGGTGCCTGGAGGGTAGCCAAAGATTTAAACTAACGGTAAGGGCGAGATTGCTACATCTTTGATAAGTTGGTGAATTGGACCCTTTGGAATGGAAAGAACCACTATGAGAGAGAGAAAACAGGCTGCCCAGTGGGGAGGACATTTGTGCACATCATGTGACCAAAGGGTGGCATCCAAAAATAGAAAACCACCCCAAAGATCAACAAGAAAGCAGATAGCCCAAAAGAAGAGGCTTGAACAGACACATCTCAAAGAGGACGACCAGTGACCAGTCCATGTTGCAACAGCGGAGGAGCTCACGGCACCGGGGGAGCCAAGTAGATTCCAGATGCAATGTCGTCGTGAGCCCGCTGGAAGGGCTAAGGTGGCAAAGTGGGTCCACCAAGCCCCGGAGAGGGTATGTCCCATGCTCTGTAATGGCTTTGTGGAGAGAAAGGTCCAGCCTTGTCTGTGGCAATTAAATGCACACACACATCTGACCCAGCAGCACACTAGACAAGCTGGGCAACATTACCCAGAAAAGACCACACCTGGGATTCACCCCAAGGCTCTCCCCATAGGACAGCAGGGACATAAATTGCTGAGTGTTCTTAGCACTGAATCCTGTCATCCCTGGGGCTGCATGAAGGATTGCTAGATGCCACAGTGTGCACCAATCTCACCTACAAGATGAGGAACAGCGACTCTGCTGGGCCCGTGGCAGTGCCATAAGAGATGGAAGGGAGGGCCAGGGCTGCTTTGGGGAAGAGGGCAGAGGTAGTGACAGGAAGGGGTGCCAGGGACTTCTGGGTGTTGGGAATGAGTTAAGTCTCTGTCTGAGTAGGGTGGTGTGGAAACACACTTTGTGGCAATTCTGAGCATTATAAACCAAATGCTCTAAAACCTAGATGCTCGGATGTTCCCGTAACCTGGCCTGTGCCACATCGGTGACAGCTCCAGGCTATTCGAGGTCTTTCTCCAATGTTCCACAACAACTCCGCTCACAACCCTGTGAATTCCACCCTCAAAATAAATGCAGAGCCTCCTTTCTCCACCTCCACTACCACTTGCTCCACGACACTGACAGGGCTGGGCTGCAGCCTCTCGCCCATGCCTGGTGGCCACTGTCCGCTGGCCACTGTCCTCAGCAGCAACGTGTGTCCCCCACCCTAAACCTTCTCATGCGAGTCCAAGCCAACATTGTTTGCTTGCTGTCCCCATGTCCGTTCTAGTGGCCCTGCCTCAGGCCTTCAGCACTGGCTGCAAGGACTTATCACCCCTCCTGGCTGCAGTGCAACTCTTCTGAGCCTTTTCTCAGTCGGTCTTTTCTCATTCGCCTTTCCCACTGCCCCTCCCCTCCCCACTTTCGGTCTCATTTTGGGTCATTTCTGTCTCCCATTCCTCCCTGCATGGAGCACATGCACCTCTTGGAAGAGCTTTGTTTTGTGCTCCAATGGGGCCCAGGCCCGGAGCAGTGCTAGAACCCAGGACCCACCACTCTCTGCTGGGACCACGTTTGCTGTGGGCTGCACTGGGGGAGGGGTTGTCACAGCCTGGCATCTTGGGTACTTGGGCATCCAGGGGCAGGGGGTTTTCCAAGGCCCCTGGTGTGATGAGCAGGGGCCCAGGGCACCCCAGGGTTTCCTGTTTTACCCTCCCTGCCTGAGCTATGGCTTCTGATGCTTACTTACATTTCTGATCAGGTGGAGCAGCCGCGGGTGCAATCCCACCCCTGCTCTCCTCCCTCCGACTGGGCTTTCTGTGTGGCAGTTGCTGTGACTGAAGCTGCATCCCAACCCTCCTGGGAAGGAGGCCTGAGCAAGCTACACACTGCTTGCTCGGGGGACTGGATGGGCTGAGCAAATGGGGAGGTGGAGGTCCAGACTGGAGGGCTCTGCTACCCCCCACCCTGTGCCTAAGGTGGTGCCTGTCTGACTTTCAGGGAGGGGAGAGTCTGAGGGTCCATCCACGGGGGGCAACGCAGTCAGGGTGAGGGACTCATTGGAGTCTGATGGCCCTGGGGGAGTGGGAGGACCTCACAGAAATCAGCAGTCCCTCTAGCTTGGGTTTCCTCATAGGTTGGGCTCACGACTGCTGTTATGGGAGAGATGGGACAGCTGTCCCAGGACAACAGGTGGCATCTGCCACCCTGCTGGATTGGTGATCATTTGAGCATCAGTGAAATTAGTCCCTGCTGGGGGCAGGTGCAGCTCTGCAGCTTGAATGGGAGTTGAGATAGGTCCTGTCTGGGCCAGCACCAGCTCCCGTGTGGGTGCCAGGCCTCACCTTCAGGCCAAACCTGTACTGCAGCTCTTCCAGGTCCATCCTATGGTACAGGGCAGTGACATCGTGCCTCTCCTCCGGTGGTGCCGTGGCCTGTGTGGGAGCCAGGGGTCACATGGGTCAGGTGGTCAGGGGCCCAGCCTCAGACTGCCGGCCCTGGGTCCTGCCTCACGTTGGCCAGATGCGTCTCCAGCTCTAGCACCTGCACCATTTCTTCCCGCACCAGGTGGTTGTCTTTGGGGAGGTTCATGTCCTTCCGAAGCATGGTGGCCACCGACATCATGAACTGCAGGTAGGCTTCCCGCACCTGGGCCAAAGGACGCTGGATGGAGCTGGGCGGCCTCGGCCACCTTGGCCACCACGGAGCGCTCTGTGGGGTGGGGGTGGGCGTGTGACATGGAATGGCCCCCAGGAAGCTCACCCAAAGGCTCTATGCCACACAGAGCACTGAATGGAGCATTGCAGGCTGCCCGAGCCTGCCCAGGCTGAGGCCCTGTCACCTTGCCCACACTCCCAGGACAAGCCTGCGAGAGGTCCCCTGAGCTCCATGGGCCAGGTCTGCTCCCCCAAGCCCTGATGTGGGGCTATACACCAGGGCCTTGACAGACAGCACAGGACCCAGTTCTCGTCCCAACGGCCTCCCTTCTGGCTGAGTGACCCATGGTGGAGCCTCTGTGGACCAGGGACAGCTCTACAGAGCTGCATGTGCACCAGGCACTCAGTGAAGTCCCTGGCTGTCAGTGCCAGGGTAAGGTTGGGCTGCCCCAGCCAGGCTGCTGGTTGAGACCAGAGGTCAGGAATTGTCTCCTAAGGATGTGTGCTCTGCCCAAATCCTTCTTCTGGTGGGACTGGGGTTTTTGAACCCAGGGCTTCGTGCTTGCAAAGCAGGCCCTCTACCACTTGGGCCACACCTCCCACACCTCCCCATCATGGGAAGGCCTTTCCTCACTGCAGGCAGGAGCCACAGAGGCCCACCCTTCCATGTTGCTTAGTAGCAGGTGGGCAACACCCCCAGGCCTGCAGCCACCAGATCTGGTGTGGCAACCACACGTGGGCCTTTCAGATGCTCCAATTTCTGATGTCTGAGGGTTCTCCCAGCTCCCCTAGCCTCATTCCTTGACCCCATTTCTTTGGCCACAGACATTTTTTCTTCTGGCTTGAGCTACCTCTATCAGGCATGCCTCCCGCCTTTGCCACTCTGTGCCCTTGTCCTCCCTGCTTTCTCTATGCCTTCCTGGCTCTTCCCTCTCCCTGCCCCTGCTGTCCCTAGGCTGCTGGCCTCATGGTCCCCGCACCAAACTTGCCCACTAGGCTCCCAACTCTTCTCTCCTGAATTAGCTCCTTGACTCAGGAGCAGAACCCGTAGGTTCTGCCCAACTTGAGATCTGTACAGGTCTCCCAGACACTGGTGGTGTGGATCTGGTTCTGTGTGGGTGGGTTAGGCCACACTATCTGCCCCATGGTTGGGGGAGCTCCCTGGTTGGGGGAGCTCACCCTGGAGCCTGGCAGTACATGTTGAAGCTAAGAGGGTCTGCATCCCCAGGGCTCAGTGCTGGGCTCGATCCCACAGGTGTTTACAGAGGCCCACCATGGGGTGGAAGGGCCAGTGGACCCGGGGATGTGGGAGGATCCGGGCAGGGTGTGCGCAGCCAGGCCCTCAACTTACCTTCTCGTTGCTGCCATCACTCAAATAGTACTCGCGGGACGGCATGCCCAAGGTGGGCTGGTCTATCTGGAAACACAGACGGTGTGACCCCAGGAAAGGGGAGGAGGTCCCCGTGCCTGGCTGAGGTGGGCAGCACCCTAGAATTGTGCACAGTGAGATACTGCAACCCCCCGGAAGGTGGATGTTTCCGGGAACCCAAATCCTGCTCTGAGTGACAGAGAGAATGGCAGGGCTGGACTGGAGGAAGGGACTTGGGAGGAGGAAAGGTGGGTAGAGGAAGTGCTGGCAACTGCAGCGCCTCCCATTACCCTCAGCCCGCCCAGCGTGGCATCTCTGGCTTTCTAGCTGTGGCCAGCTATAGCTCTCTGAGGTCAGGCCTCCTGTGCTGATATTAAGCACATCACTGTTGGTAAGAACCAGGCTGCTCCTCTGATCAGAACACAGGCCACAAGCCCCCCCCCAAAAAAAAAAACCCTTGCTTACTGCAGCCTGTCCCTCAGGTGAGCTCAGATGTGGACCAGAACAGGGCTTTGGAAGCCAGACCCCAGGAGTACATGTGGGAAACCGGCCCCTTGGCCTCTGCCCTGGCCTGCCTCCCTACTGTGCTGAGGGCGCCCCCAGCCAGGCCCAGGGGACTCAGCCAACCCCAGCCCTTGGGTGGTCTCATACATAGATGATGTGCCGGCTGGAGTTCTGGTCGTCATTCCAGATGAACAGATCAATGAGGACACGCCTGTTGAACTGCGTGTTCATCACAGCCAGCTGCCGTTCCAGCTCCCATTTAGGGCCTGGGGAGTCAGCACCCATGCTGGGAGACCAGCTAGGCCGCCTGGCTTCTCACCAGACCATAGATCAGCCTCCTATGCCTGGACCTCTGGGGGTCTAGGGAACCCCAGGCTGGCTCAGGGTGGTGGGCTCATGGTCAGCCTTGGGGACTAGGAGATACACATCCCCAAATAGCCTACAGGGACAACAGGTCCCAAGTGTGGTGCCATGTGCTACCCTTCCCCGCCCCCTCCAGAGCAGCTCTGAGTACAGGCTCAGAGCTGGCAGCCCTGGGACATAGCGCCTGGATCTAGGGGTCCCAGAGGGATGCACCTCTGCAGAGCTGCAGGGACCAGCCACAGAGAATCTTTGCCACAGCTGGCATGAACTCCCAGCATGGAGCCTGATCCGGCTCCTGGAACCCTGAGGTTGGCTCTAGTAGGGATAGGCCTCATGGGGCTCCCCGAAGAGCAGTCAGCCAGCCAAGTGAGTAGCTGCCCTGGGAGTTCTGGGTCCCAGCATCCACCTGTCTGTCCATGAGGCTACCACCAGGATTGTCCTTACCTATGGTCTCGTTCCACTTGTCCATGGCCACCGGCCAGCCTCCCACCACCTCTAAGATGTTCAGTAGAGGCTGGGAGTCTCGCTTCTCTATCAAGCCTGAGAAGGGAAGTAACGCTCACTCACCCAACCTTGGAGGCGAGTGTGTGTGGGGTGCCAATTGTGCAGATTCCCCCGGGCATGCTGCACACTGCCGATCACAGGCTCAGCATTTTACTGCAGACTAGACACAGGCAGGCACTGGGGGCTGGGGAATCTCAGGAGCCCCTCGGACGAGGAGGATGGGGACCTGGGAGCTGGCAACAGGTGAGGGAGCCTCAGAAAGGGGAGTTAGAGCAGCAGGAGTGACCAACTGCTGCTCTGAGGTGACTTGATCTGGCTCAGGGAGGGGTGGGGGCAGTGCGGGGGCCTCTAGACCTCCGTCTGCTGCATCGAGGCTAAAAGATAAGGGCAGAAGATGAATCAGAACTGCAGCGCAGCACTGATCTTACAAGAAGCTCGGAAGAACTTCGGCAAAAACTAAGTACAGGTGGTCTGCACAGAAGTCACCATGGAAATAAAGGAAGGTCACCCCATGAGAGAAGTGGTGGCTCAGAGCTGGCCATAGCAAGGGATGGCCACTGTCATTGTAGTGCAGACTCAGGGGCAGCAGTGTAGGGGAGCCTCACAGTGGGAAAGATGAGCATAATGGAGTCGCCTAGCCTGGGGAGGCTGCGGGGTGGGGGAGAGGGGAAGCAGGGCCTCCATGGACTGGGCAGGAGCTTATCTGACTTTCTGTGGCTGGGCTTAAGTTGGGAGAAGCTGTCTGTCCTAAGTCAAGTCCTGGCTGTTTGGGCCAAGTGGCACAGGGTTTTGTGTGGCTTCTGCAGTGGGAGGAGTTGCAGGCTGGATGCTGTGGAAGGGACTCAGAGCTCTATGTGACATATGCACTGCCATTTTCCTTCTGCATAGTCAGCCTCTCAGGCCAAAAATTAAATAAGTGTGGGAATGAGGTATTACCCAGACAAATTGAAATTCAGTTCCCAAAGGGAGAAGCAGGGACAGGCCCAGATGTGCCCAAGTGGGGGGGCTCATGGAGACAATCCCATAAAGCTGGGGTCCCCATGAGTCCCATTGTCAGTATACTTGAGACACCTTCCGCCCTCTTGGACACACCCAGGAAAACAGGTGGCCCTGAACCCTGGTCCTAGAAGGATGGTAGTGATCTTCTCAGGGCAGCACAATCACTTGGGCTGCAAACCCTGAAGCAGAGGGTTTCAGAGGCTCTGGCTCAGGGGTGCCCCAAGCATGAAAATCCTTTTAATAGGAACCAAAGCCCCAAAAATCTTCCCTGTGATACACACACATCCACACACACATGTACACACAGACATGCACACAAGACACATATACACATATACATAACACATGTCCACACAGCCCTGTGTGTACATACACACCACACAACACACACAATGCACATACATGCAGTGATACACACCTGAATATATGCACACACATATTAAACACACACAAGCTCATAGACACGGACACGTGTAACAATGCATAGGATACAGACATATACACATTACACATAAATATACATGCATAATGCATATACACACACACATGCACAGTATACACACATACTTGTATACGTACATAAACACATGTACCCACAATACACAAACAGGTGCACGCACACATTGCATATACACATAACATGCACATGTACACATACATGTGCACACATGACATTGCCTGGGTTCCCAGGCACACACCCCACCGGCATTGTGTTGCCTGGACAGAGCACAGCCTGGGTGTGATCAGGCACGGGGCAGCTGGCAAGCAATAAGCCTGCACCCCATAGGAAGCCTGAACCTGGGCCAGGTGGGGGCACAGCACACAGCACACAGTGGGGGCCGTGAGCAGTGCCCGCTCCACCTTGCGGTGCTTCAGGGCCGCTGCAGGGTGTGGTGCTGGACTGGATCCTGGCAGGGGCAGCCCGTGGGCTACCCGCCCTCAGCCGACTCACTCTCGTTCATGCAGGAGCGGTACAGCATCTTGGCCTTCTCCACAGCTGGCCGGTCTTTGGCAGAGGACTTCTCCAGCACCCCTGTGGGCAGAGGAGAGGTTGGACAGAGGTGACTTCTGTGGGGTCCAAGTCAATGGCCCATGTGCCCCTGCAGCACCTGGTGAGAGATGGACCCTCCCTGCTGCTTCTGGGCCTGTACCTTCTCCTCTGGGACACTGAGGAGGCCTGAGGCTGCCCAGAGACACGCCGGGGTGAGGCCCTGCCGGCTGTATCTTCCAGCCCAGTGATGTCCCCACTGACACTGCTACCCAGAAGCGGGGCAGGCACCCAGCTTGACCCTGCTACAGCCCCCGAGGAGGTGGCCACCTTTGAGGATGACCTCCAGCTCATCCCGAAGGATGTCGAAGACGCTGTACCGGGAGTTGGTCTCGGGGATCACATGGTGCTGCAGCCAGCCTCCACACGCGTACTGGTAGAAGTCGTCACATGGCTCCTTAGATGGGTCCATGTTCTGTAGGATCCTGGCTGCTGCTCATTCCCAGGGGGTGGAGAGGAAGAGGAAGCCCTAGTTGTGGACAGCCTGACACTGTCTCTAGGCCTAACAGACAGCCTCTAGCTCTGGGGACAGCCTATCAGAGATTTCATGGGCAGCCGTGTGCCTTGGGAGGGTTAGTCACCTCTCTCAGCTGCAGTGAACCTGGAACCAAGAGGGAATCATTCAAGTGAGTTCAGTGTTAAGGCTGCCACTTATTAACCACAGGACCTTGAACCCTTGTGGCTTCTCCTGGCCTGGTTTCTGGGGATACCAGAAATCTGACCTGAAGACTAAGGCCGTGGGTAGAGACGGTGCTCTGCTCACAGAAGAGCTCAGCTGGTGGTGCAGCTCCTGGCTCCTGGACAGGGCCTTTTTGCTGGGGGAGGGCAGCTCTTATCTACCATCTGGTGGTGTGTTTTCTGAGCAAGGGGACAGTGTTTGATGGGACTAGGGGGCCTAAGGCTCCCAGCTAAATGCTCTCAACTGGGTGGCCACGCTAGATATTCTACCCTTACATTCTGTTGCTTGTCCTGGCCTTGGACCCTTTGTCCAAGGGATCTTGGGAAAATGTCACCATGGGTTACTGGTACCCAACACGGGCAGGAGAACCACATTTCTGAATGTATCCACGAGTGTTTCTTCCCACCGTTTTCACAGCTTTGCCATCTGCAAACTGCAGTCTATGGCCCCCAGTTTACGTCTTCCTGGGAGAAGACATGAAGTAAGGGTGTCTGCCCATTTGGCCTTGTTGCCTCTAACTGCACACGGAGCCCCGGGTGCTCAGCAGCCAGATCTGGGGCAGTGGGAGTGATGGGGAGCAGAGCTAGGCCTCCAGCCCATAAGCAGCGCTGTGGGGCGGGCATGGGTGAGGGGCTTACCTGCCATCACGCAGCCAGGAGTGGTGCAGACATCAGTGTCCTGGGAGGACTCTTTGGTGGCTGCGAACAATTAGTGGTGTCAATGCCTGGAGGGGCTGAGTGGGGCGGGGCACGGGCCTGGGTGGGTGGGGCAAAGCCTGGTGGGCGTGGCATACCGCCGGGTTGGGAGGGCCTTGGCCTCAACCCCATCCCCACCCCCATGGGTGGTCTAGCCTTGGCCTGGAGGGTAGGTCTGAAGCACAGCCCTGTGATCCTTCTCCAGTGAGTCCTTAAGCCATAGTGACTTCTGATGTTACCTGACCCTTGCAGTGACCTGGCAATTCCTTCAACACCCTCTGCCTCCACTGACTTCCCACAGCCACTCAGGCCCCCCAGGGCTGAGGCTGGCCGCCTTTCTGCCACTGTCCTCTGCTCCCCACCCTCCTGTGCACGTGGGAGGGCTCCCTGTCCCTCCACGGAGTCCCCGCCCGCCTCAGGCCAGGAGCCCACCTCCTTGGGGCTGTCTGGCAGGGAAGGCAAAGGCTACCTCGGGATTCTCGTTTTACAACGGTCCTCTCTTCCTGTGAGAAGCGCAGCCGGCTAATAAAGGGGGGCAGCTGCTTCCCTGGAGAGAAACACAGCACTCAGCTCCTTCCAGCCCGGCTCTCTAGGCCCTAGGGCCTACTTGGACCAGGAGTGGTGTTTCCCTACAGTGTTGGGATTGCCATCCCCACTCCACAGTGAGGGCTGGTCACCAGGGAACCAAGACGTGAGCAGACCGGCTCACCACAGAAACTGAGTCTTCTGCTGTTTCCCTCTAGGGAAGGAGTTCCCCCCACCCCAGGCTCCACACTCCTTCTAGGGCCAGACCCACACAAGGTGGGCAGTTCCTCCAGTCCCACCACTGTAGGATAATTGGCTCAATCAGGGGAAAGCAGCCCCTTTGCATGGAGACAGCTTCCCCGCTGGCAACCTCTTCCCCCACTCCACTCCCCCCTCCTCTGCCTCGCACCTTCCCCATCCCTCCTACATTCAGGGGAGGGGGGCACTGCCTTGTCAGCATCTGGGTCTTCTGGGACAGGTTGTCAACCACCTGGAGTGGTGCATGGGAGATAGAAGGGGGAACCCCAGGCCCAGGGAGAGGGCAAGTCAGGCCGGGCTACTGCCAAGTATACAGACCTGTAGGGAGGAGGGGACGGGGCAGGTCTGTGCAGTCCCAGGCACAGAGGCAGCATAGAAGGTTCTGGGAGCCTGAACATGTTGGTTACTCCCTAGGGCCTGCCATTCAAAGGGTCATTAATCCAACATGAGATGATTTTACAAGCCAGATCCAGGGCTGGGCACTGGGGCTCAGATATGAGGCAGATGTTGGACCCTGCTCCCTTGGAGCCCTCTGCCCCACACCAAATCTGGTGGAAGCACCCACTTTGATGGAAATCCCCCAAAGTCTGGTCTGAGCTGTAGGGAAAAGAGGGGCACCCCCAGGTCAGAAACAGATCGAAAGGGTGAGAGGGTATTGGCCCTTGGTTGTCCCTCCATGTTTACCAATCTCAGATATCCAGACCTTTGGGATGAGACGGTAGACCCTAGATGTCACAATCTCAGTGAAAGTGGACAAAGGACATGTGCCCTCCAGCCAAAGAGGTGACAAGAAGGAAAAAAGGTTTCTGCAGACTGGCTCCCACCCTACCAAGGTGAACAAACTGGAGAGGAAACCACTCGAGAGGTTTTAGAAACTCACCAGGGATCTGGGGACATAAAGAAACCTAAACAAATCAGATTCCAGAAATGGATGAGCCCATCCCATAGGAAGGACCCAGGCCACAAGGCCATTCACAAGCTGGAGGAATTTCAGTGATATGCACCTCTGCAGGCTGGGGGGCAGGACACGGGGGGTTTGGGGGGGCAGAGGAGGGGTGTCTGCACCCACCCACAACTCTTACTCATGGGTGTTCACAGAGGGCATGGTGGTGGCACCTGAAGTGAACTCATGGATGACCCAGTTGTCACCACCAGCAGACAAGTCTTTGCATTGGCTATGATCATTAAGTTAAAGAGTCTTGCAGAAAAGTTGGGAAACGTGAACAGATACCTGGCGGGTTAGGTAAACGGAAGCTAGAGAAAAGAGCGGGATGGAAATGACTCACAAGAAGTGAAGAAAGTGTGCTGCAAGGGTGACGGCGCACTGAACCCCGCAAAAGAATCAGCAGCAGCAGCGCGCGTAGGTCAGCAAGATTACCCAAACTAGAACACAAAGGAGAAGGAATTAAACCACACAGAGGGAAACAGCTTCAATAACTTAGAGCTAGCTGGGCATGATGTAACCCCAGCACTCGGAAGCCTGAGGCAGGAGGATCTCAAGTTGGAGAACAGCCCGGACTATTTGTGAGCCCCATCTCAAAAACAAACAGAATTGCCTGAGGTGACGTCACAGGTAGTGGCCAGAGCTGGAGAGCTGGCCCGAAGATCAGGACAAGGCTAGGATGCCCTTCTTCACCACTCCGTTGCCATCATGCTAGAAGTCCTACTGGTTTCATAAGGTGAGAAAAGAAAACGGATGTGCTAGCAGCCAGAGAGGAAACCAGCTGACTCTGTTTGCAAATGGCACCATCGTTATGTAGAGAGTCCCAAAGAATCAACAAAACCCTGCTGCAACTAACAAGAGAGTGCAGCAAGGTCACCTTGGTTAACACAGAAAGACCAGTTGTTTTCTTGTGCACACCCAATGAACAACTGGGATCTGACAGAGAAATAATGCCACTTATAAGAGCACCTAACCCAGCACTCTGGGGGCTGAGGCAGAGGGTCATGAGTTTGAGGCCAGCTGGGCTACATTGAGACTCTGTCTCAAAAAAACAAAAAAACTGTATCAACCATCTGTATCTATCATCTATCTATCTATCATCTGTCTACCTATCTATCTATCTATCATCTATTATCTATCAGTCACCTATCTATTACCTATCCTCTATCCATCCATCATCTTTTTATCTATCATTTATTATCTATCATCTATCTTATCATCTATTATCTATCTGTATCTATCAATCATCTATCTATTATCTATCAGTCATCTATTATCTACCTATTTGTCTGTCTGTTTATCTATCTGTCATAGTGCCTAACAAGTAAAGGTCTGGGGATAAATCTGACAAACACACATAGCATCTGTCTGTGAAAAACTGTAAGATTCAATTCAAAACCCTGCTGTATCTAAATGAGCAGAGATGGTCTATGTCCATGGATTGGAAACTTAATATTATCATGACGTTATTTCTTCCCAACTTGATCTACAGATTTAACACAATTCCAATCAAAATCTCAGCAGCTGTCTTTTGATATAGACAAACTTATAGTAAAATTTGCATGGAAAGGCAAAGATGTAGACTAGACAACACAACAGTGAAGAATGAAGTTAGAAGTCACACTACTTGGTTACAAGACTTACTGCCCACCTACAAGTTATTACACAGCAGTGTGCTGGTGAAAGAAGAGACACAGAGAAAAAAGCATCGGAACAGAGAGCCAGGCATAGATGTTCAAGTGCAGCCAGCTGGTGTTGACAAAGGAGCAGAGGCAATCCGGTGGGAGAGTGTGGCCTTTCCAAGGAGTACCGGGACAATTGGACACGCCCCACAAAAATAAGTCAAGACATAGACTTACAGCTTGCACAAATTAACTCCAAATTGCATGATTCAAAAGAAGAAAATTGATGTTAGATGTTATTAAGAATTAAAACTTCAGTTCTGGGAAAGACCTGTTAAGAGAATGCAGTCAGAAAGTGAAAGAAAATACATGCAAAACATGTGTCTGGCAAAACACTTCATTAAAAGTGTACAGAGAACACTTCAAACACAACAAGAAGAAAACAAGCAACCCACTGGGTATGGCAGTTCATGCCTGTAATCTCAGCACTCAGGAGGCAGAGGCAGGAGGATCTTGAGTTCGAGGCCAGCCTGGATGACATAGCAAGTTCTAGCCCTGCCTCAAAAACAACAAAACAAAACAAAAAGACTTAGATGAATCTTATACATATATTGCTAAGTGGTGGGGAAAGGCAGTCAGAAAAGGCTGCACATTGTGTAACTCCGATTGTGTGATATCCTGGAAAAAAAGAATAGAGAAGGTAAACAGTGGTTGCTGAGAATCTGGGGAGGGAGATTGAATAGGTAAAGCACAAGGGATTGTTTTAAGCCAGCAAACTGTTCTGTATGGTATTGTAATGGTGAATACAAGGTATTAAGAACTTATTAAAACCCACAGAAGTAGCTGGGTGCCGGTGGCTCACATCTGTAATCCTATTTACTCAGGAGGCAGAAAATCTGAAGAATTGTTGTTTGAAGCCAGCCTGGGCAAATAGTTTGCAAGATCCTATCTCGAAAAGACCCATCACACACACACACACACACACACACAAAGGGCTGGTGGAGTGGCTCAAGGTGTAGGTCCTGAGTTCAAACCCCAGTACTGCCAACAAAAAAGAAAAAAACCACAGAACTTCATGACACACACAAAAATCTTACTGTATGGAAGTTAAAAATGTGATTTAGGAGAACAGGGGATCCCAGAAGAAAATGCAAAATGAGAATCTAAATGTGTCACAAATGTATGAAATAATCCTACAGAAAAGCCTTGGGGAATAGGTGCTGGACTAAGTAACTCTGCACAAGAGCAGAGCCTTTGAGACTGAAGTCAAAAGGAACTGTACATAGTGCTGTACTGTAGTTGGTAAAGTTGTTCCCCATGGGAACCCAGCTAATAATTCTGAAATGTCACACACGTACATTGTAATTGAACAAGGAAGTGATGGGTGGGAGATGGCCAGGCTTATCACTGCTGCAGCGGGGAAGCTACAGGCAAGGAGGAAGCAGGTACGAGTGTCTAGTGATGGTTGGAGTTGGAGATGTCACTGTAAGTTCACACGTAACTCACCGCAGACAGAAATGGAGACATCAGAGTCAGCTCATGCTTAGCTCACTGTAGATGCAATTACCGACAGAAATATTTACAGATATGTGCATGTGTACACATATGTACACACACACACACCTTGCTCCACCAGCTGAGTGAGAACATAAGTGACAAAAGTCTTTAACTGGCAATGAGTACCCCTTATATCCAGATCTTAGGTTCCCACTCAAATATCCAATGAAAGGAACCAGAGCTCTTTGGAAGAACAGTTGATCCTACAAAGGGAACAGGAAATATACAAGATGAGCTCAGGGCATTTATAGTGCCAAAAAATAAGAAAGTGGTAACCCTACCCCACTCCACAAACCAAGTCCACAATGATGGGGATCTGTCAGAGTCACAGAAGGTGCTGACAGAGCTCCCAATGGCCAGAGTTGGAGCAGCCTGGGCAACAAATAAGAACAACCCAAAATACAAATAGCCATAGGTCCACACTGGCATAAAAGCACTGAATGAATAAATAAGAGAAAGAGACAAATCTCTCATTCAGAGGAATTGCAAATGCCGTATGTGGAACTTCTGCCACGAAGGATGAGAGAACCTTACTCCTACAAGATTTGCTGTCATAGTGACTTCCTCCCAAAGAGGAAGGCCAAGGAGAAAAAAGGTGACAGTGCAATGCAGAGACCTGACAAATACTACTTCAAGTCATGT